TCAGACTGTTTCAATTGAGAGGTTTATTAATCTATTTTCAAATGAAAAGTTGATTAGACTGTTTCAGTTGAGAGGTTTATTAGTCTATTTTCAATTGAAAAGTTGGTCAGACTGTTTCAAAAGAAGAATGAAAGACTTTTGTGTATAAAACATCTGATTTTTTTTCACACTAGTTCAGTAACTAGGTTAGATTTTTGAAGAGAATCTAATAAACTAAAATTGATTTTTAAGATAAATCAATAAAATCTTTACAAACTCTTTCTTGAGATACAGTGAGGAAAAGTATGCTATCAATTGATAATAAATCAGATAATATGACAGTTTTTGAGAGAAAAACTAAGAAAAAATAAGTCAATTTTTTGCAGAGAAATTGATTAAAACTATTCAATTTTATTCTAAATCATTCAATTCTCCTCACACAACAAGTGTGCAACTCAAATCAGTTAATAAAGAGTGTAAAAGAGAATTAAGTATTAATGAAAGCTCTTCAGTCACTGAAAAAGTAATTCTTACTTAAAAGAATATGAAATTATGACAGAAAACAACTCTGTTTTTAATTCTTTGTAAGAATATTGTGTAAAACTCAGAGAAAAACATCTTATTTTTTCAAGAGAAGTAAAAAACTATTTCTAAGATCTTTTTTTTTATATTAACTGCTGCAGAAGAATGAGATAGAAACTGCTAAGATATACACTACTATATACTCTCTATCAAGACTTTTCCTCTTCAGAGTCTTGATATTATAGAGAATATAAGTCTGTTTCTATATGATAATATAAATATTGCCAGCGAGATGTAGAGGAACTGATTATTTATATCTCAAAATAGAAGACTTTGTTAATGATTATATTAATATAGAGTTAATTCTTAAATTCAATAGAAACCTAGTATTGCTGTTCTCAATCCCTTGCAGAATCTATTGAATATTGAGATATTAAAACTAGATTTAATATATCTCACTGTGCAGAGATCAAAGACTCAGTCAGACCTTGAGATATACTGAATTTATAGTTGTTGACATGCTGTTGACTTGTTCTGTTAACTTGTTATCTGCTGATTATGTATTGAGTACTGTTATCAAGGTATCTTTTTGTATTATTCTGCCGGAAATGAGCCAGATTGAGAGAAGTGATACAAGCGTGAGACTTGATATTGAATATTCTCTGATAGTCAAGCTGCTTTAAAAAACTTAGAAATAGTCAGATTTATAATAATCAAATGAAACTTGAATTGATTTTAAATTCTGTTTTGAAAATTTAAAAGAGAAGAATATTAAAGCTGATAATTCATCTGTACTAAGTTCCTGCTTATATGAATATTCATGACAATGAATTGACTGATTGAGCTGTAAAAAGAGTTCAGAATTAAGCAGATTTATTCAAAAAACAGTGTTCTGATCTTTTATAAAGAGAAATATAAAAGAATCTTATTTAGATAAGTGAAATAAAAGCTGATAAAAACAAAAGAAGAGTATATATTATTCAAGATTTAAAATAAAACTCAAGTGAAAATCTTGTTTAATTAAATATAAAAAGAAAATATTCTCATCTATAAAATAGCTGAAACTAGAACATAATTATTTCAAATCTTATATACAAAGATTTGATAATGCCCTGGTGGCTGAATGGTTAATGCGGCCACTCAGTAGCGCCTTGGCGTGGGAAATCAAGGCGCGTGGGTTTGAAACCCGCAGAGAATACATTAAATCCAGAACTCAAGCACCTCAGGTTTCTAATAAATACAGAGGTGTATAAATTGCTTTAATAAATCACTCTATGTTTCTGAGCTGAGAAGTTATTATCACATGTATTGAATTGTCACTTCTTTGTATTTTTCTATATTCTTGTTATCTTGGCATGATCTCAACACCTGTATTTCCTCCTGTATAATTAACACTTAACCTGTATTTAACATCACGCAAGGACTCATCATAAGCTCCGCTTGTATATGAGTATAATGAAAGAATAATAATAATAATAATAAAGATTTGATAATAGATTTGATTCAACAGAATACTCATTCTGCAATACAAAAAAAATTCTGATTATATTATAATATATTATACACTATATAATAGTCTCAGAGTCAGATTGAAAGAGAAGTATAATTTAAATTAATTAAATATAAGATTCTTATTCTTAACTGAGATAGAAATTAAATACTTAATAGACTTTCTATTAGAAACTCAAGCAGCTATGAGAAAATAACTGAATTCAGAAATATCTGAATATGAAGAGGTGATAATTAATCAGATATAGTCTGTTAAAACAGCTATATACTATCTTTTAATATTTTTATTATGTTATAGTCTCTTCTTACTGTACTTTTTCTTTTCTTTTCTACTCTTTTCTATCAGTTCAGTGATGTAGTGATTAACTACGCTATTATGAAGTCTCAATTAGCGGCCTTCCCCCCGGGGAATGAATGCTAAGAGAGGGCAGATTTAAACTCTGCAAGAGTCATCTTAATCAGAGCTTTCACTGTTAAGTTATAAAACAGTATCAGAGACTCTCAGATGCACTATAGTGAATTATTATCAAGCTTAAGATGTTTACTCTAAGAGTTTTCAGATACTAATTCTTACTGATCTTAGAATTAACAGTTCTCTGAGTACTTTAAGTTAGATCAGTACTAGAGTGATTGAGATCTAGAATGTCTGCAGAATAGTAAATTATTATCAAGTTTAACTGATCAGGTCTCATTTCTCTCACTCTAGATATTCACTTTCAGAGAATTAATATTTAAAAACTATCTGATTAGAATATCTCAGGTCTAGTAAGAATCTAGATGAGATAAGATCTAGGCATTCTTAATAGATGATTAGTGCAAGCAAGACTGTGATAATTAATTAATAGACTGAAATACTGAGATTAACAGCTGAAAGATTAGAGACTTAACTAGAATTGAGTAGCTCTGATATTATTCTTAGTGAGAATCTCACTTATAAATAAGCTAGTTACAGAAGCTAGCTGAGTGACAGTTCTTTAGAGAGAATAATAATCTCTGAAGCAGGTCTGAGAGAACAGAGATAGCAATCAGTTATATAGAGTATTAAAATATGTATATAGCTTAAGATGTAAACTATAGAGATCTTATTCTGTAGATCTCTCTTTCTTTTACTTTACTTTTTTCTTTCTATTCTTTTCTATCTATTTATTTAATGTGTCTATCTTTAAGACTGTATTCTCTTTTCTTTTATCATGTCAAATGATTTCAAAGTATTAGAAGATGTTAAAATACTGTAATTTATAAACAGTTTTTATATTCTGAGCTGAAATTTTCTGATTTTACATATCTGAAATTAATGAATGTATAATAGTTAACTTTATAAATATAGAAAAAACTCTGAGAACTTTTAATTCTCAGATAGATGTTATAGTCTCTGACTATATATATCTATAATTGAAGAATAATAATAATAATAATAATACTCTTTTCTATTTACTTATTTAATATGTCTCTCTTTAAGACTCTGTTCTATTTTCTTTTATCATGATATTTCTAAATGATTTCAAAGTATCAGAAGATGTTAAAATACTGTAATTTATAAAGAGTTTTTATATTCTGAGCTGAAATTTTCTGATTTTATATATCTGAAATTGATAAATGTATAATAGTTGACTTTATAGATATTAGAAAAACTCTGAGAACTAAAAGTTTTTAGATAGATATTATAGTCTCTGACTATATACATCTATAATTGAAGAACAATAATAATAATAATATAATTAATAGAGTTAGCAGCTCTTGACTATATATAATTATATAGACTGAAGTTAATGAATACTATTTATAACTCAGCTTGAATACTATTATACATTTGATATTTATATTTTATCTTTCTATTATGAATACTTCTAGTAGCTATCAGTACATATCATGTCTAGACTAGCTACTGAGATTATAAATTTCATATTTAGTCTTATTTAATCTGATTCTATACATTTTTTAATATGAATCTCACTGAGACTAATCATTAAAAAAACATGTAAAATGACTATATATTAAATCTTAAAATGAAATCATGACTTAGAAAAAATAAGAAAGTGATTTCATTTAATTTCATTTAATCTTATTCTTGATATAAAGTTACTATTTTTAGACATTTCAAGGTTTTTTTTAGCCTATTTTTAATTTTTTAAAAAGTAATGCTTTTTGATAACACTTAAATGAGATTTAAAGTCATTTAAAGCAATAAAAATAATTTAAATTGAGAAGTGAAAATCATGATCTTATTTTAAAAATGTGATAAGAGTAGACAGTAAGTCTTACTGAGATAGTATGAAACTACTATATAATCTTAAAACTGTGTAATGAGATCAGTTGAATTGATAATAAGACTATTAAATATTCTGATTCTGATCTCAGACACAGCTACATGATCAGTCTAATTATATCAAGCTGTAAATATCTGAATAATTGCCTACAAGTATTTATTCTTACAGTCTTTCACTGATATTCTCTTTGTAAGATCTTGTTACAGAGTCAGAGTGACTGATAAGTAAGCTTCTATCTAGAGACTCAGTGTTCACTTAACTGATTGTTTATTTCTTTATTATTACATGTTATTACACATTCAAATATCTTTTCAATAAGTAATCATTTCTAATGAGAAGACAATTAACATTTTTCAAGTATAAGAAGTCTACACTGAATAGATTAGCATTAAGATATAAATCTTATATAACAAAAGTGAAAAACATTAGAGAAGAAAAATAAAAGAGAAAGTGTGAGAATCAGTGATCAGAGTGAATATTTATACACATATGAGATAGAGCTTTGAGGCGGAAGAATAGGAACTCTGTGAGTTCCTCAACTGAGAATCGGCGACTGAGAATCGGAGCTTTCGGCAGGAATCTATGAAGTGTAATGGAATGAATCGGCGACCGAGAATCGGAGCTTTCGGTAGGAATTGGCCCGCTTCACTGCTGATCAGCAGATTTAGAGAAAATAAAATAGCTCTAGTAAAAAGTAAGAGTCTTTCTGAAAAAGGTGAACTACTCTTGTCAAAATATTGATGCAATGTTTCTTAAAAAGGAAAATGTGCTATTCAGGCTATAATCTGTAGAATAGTTGAAGGTTGTATTGATAGATCTATCTACAAAGAGCTTAATATAGTGGTTGGTCATGTGATCTAGGGAGATCGCCACAGCCAATAGCCGCAACGGCCGTAACGGCCAACAATCTGCGAGACAAAACGAGGTCGGGTGGGGCACTTAGCGAGGTCAACTTTTCTGCTTCCTGGCATACGAGGGGATAACAGCATATACACATCACTACTCTTCAATCTAGACCGATCACGCCTTAGGTTATTCTGCAGATAGATTCAATTTTTTCCCCAGCGAGTTCTTTAGTTTATTTATTATTCAGCTGGGGGGCGCTGTTCGAAACAGGTTCGTTCGTTCCGACATGCATCTTAGTTCTCTGGGAATTGGGAAAGGGAAGCACAGTTTTCTGTTTGAAGGGACGGTATTGGGTGTTGAGCATTGGATTGAGCATTGGGGCGTTTTGACTTGCATTATTCGGGGCGGGGAAAGGGATTTTGAAATAGACTGGATGGAGGCTTTTTCCTGCGGCAAGTGATATGTGGAATGACGTCGGGGGAGGGTGGGGGTGAGAGGATGGTTGGTTTTTTTTTTTTTTTTTTCTTATTTTCTGGTACTTTTTTATTTTATTTTTTATTTATTTTATATACTAGCTTTTTTAGGATAGATATGAGGAGGAACTGAGCTAACAGTTATATATCTTACCATTGCAGGCTGTCGGATGTTCGATTTAGCAGGGATTCCGGTGTGTACAGGAGTGTTACGTCATCGAAGACGCATCAACAGATAATCCGGTCCGCCACGCAGTCCGCGGATCAAGGATAATCCGGGCGGCGGGCAGGGACTAGGGAGAGTTTTCTGCCGGCCCGGGGGCGGTTCGAGCCTTGTCTCTTGAGTTCTGGTTAAGTTGAGTGAGTTAGTTCAAGGTCAGGTCAACATCAATCAACGTCAGCCTTTGGCCTGGGGATAGATACACACTTGCAATCCATCATCTTGTGGCCGGCAGAGAGGCATCTATTACTCTACCACTCTGTTTCTTTCCTCTCCCCTATTATCCTGATCAGCTGCTGCTTCCTTCTCTTCGTCCTTTCCCCCCCAACACCCTGGGTTCTGCAGGCTTTTACCGCCGTCCACGCCCCGGGTAGTCACACCGCTATCCCGGGTTGGGGCTAGTGTGGGTGTCGCTGCCTGTGTCTGTCTTGTCTGTCTGCAACCACCGCCTGCGCTGCTCTTCTTGCTGCGGTACATCAACATCCAGTCGAGTTCGCTCTGGCTGCAAAGACAACTACAGCCTATCGCTCTCTCCGCTCGTTCCCCTCCTTCACGACAACGACGCCAACTGCTACAACTGATATATCCCATTCCTCCTTCACACTCCCCTCTCTGCCTTGCCCCCTTTCCTCTCCTTTTCTCTCCTCTCCTCCCCCATCTTCTTCCCCCCTATCCCCTACATTCCCCTTGACTCGACTCTATTCTCTAGCGTCCCCAATTCCCCCCTCCCCCCTCCCCTTTACCCATCTCTCACCCCTTCCCCTCCTTCTCAAGGGGGCCCCGCTGGGGTGAAAAAATAACAAACTAAAAAATAACAACAATCCTCCTCTAAATACCCGAAAAGTAACGAAACCTTGGGGAACATAATCGATCGAAAAAAGAGGACAGTTGATAAACCATGCCGGCGGAACTTTCCGCTGAGGCTATCATCGCCATGTCTCCCCACCCGGTCCTCGACAATCCCGGCGAGAACAACAAAAAAAATAATAACAGCAATAATATCGCCACCACCACTGCCTCCATGACCCCGCCTGCCAGCGCAGATGGCGAAAAGATCTCCTCCTCCTCGTCCGTTGATCATAATAATACCTCCCCCTCCTCCGCTTCATCGTCGACGTCCGAACTCTCAGACATGGAACTCGATTCCAATTCCAATTGCAATTCCAATTTAAATACCGGTGCCAATTCGAATACCGCCACGGTGCCCGAGTCGACGACGACGACGACAACTGCGGCAGATGAGATTCATCCCGATCATTATTATGGCGGTGGGAAGATTCCGGTTTTTAAACCTGTTAGTGCTTGCTTTCCCCATCTTCTCATATTTTTATATACATAGCGGTAGGCAAGGGTGGCTAGCTTGGCTAGATAAATAATATCTGTACCATCCGTTCGATTTACGTTGCCATTATTTGCCCTCGAACTACATTATCGTCGGATGATAAAACGAATCGCCAGTGTTATAATATACGTGAAGGCTGACACCTTTGTTTCTGACGGATGATATATAGACAATGGACCAATTCCGCGATTTCTCTGCTTTTGTTCAGAAGGTCGATAGCTACGGCATGAAGTCTGGAGTCATCAAAATCATACCGCCAAAGGAATGGTGAGTTCCGCTTTTCATTCTCCTGTATTCTTGTTCCATTTTTATCTCATCTCCTTCTACTTCACCTTGCGTCTTTCCTATTCTTTATTAAAGGTCGGAAGTATCCAACGGGAGCTTCTCCGCAAATCGGGTGATTGGTTACGGGCCACTGCACGTGTCCGCACCTTGCTTGAACGTAGCTTTCCGCTGCTGTCACCAATTGGCTCTTTCACGCTCCGACTCCGTCTCGATCCCGCCAATTACCCGTTTACACCTGAGTTTTCGAATCCTTCGCCCTACTGTCTCATTTCGAGATATGTTCGTGAGACTGTAACTGTATGCTAATTTCAATCTTAATAGGACCGATGCCCTTCCCTCCCTCGAAGAATCTGTCAAGACCATCCGGGTGAAAAATCCAATCATGCAGGAATTCCACGGGTCACATGGCACATTCACACAGGCGAATATCGAAAAACAGCGCTCTTATAATTTACCACAATGGAAATCGCTCTGCGAGGAGAGCAGTCACCAACCCCCAGCCCGGCGGGGCGAGCGACGGCGAAACCAGGAAAAGGTGAACCGCGGCGCTACGAACAAAGCACAGTCGAGATCCAACTCACAACGACGGAAACCTGGTCCCAAACCTAAGCGTGTGGAAGTGGATAAACCTATGGAGGAGTCTTCAGAGAACCATGTGGATAAATCAAAGCCGGAAAGCCCACCCACCCCTGTCTCTCCGGAATCGAAACCCGTAGAAACCAGAACAGAAATACTCAGTGATGGGGAGTCGCTGCCCGCTCCCAAACCGAAAGGAAGACAGCCCAAATCTGTCTCTGCCAGGAGAAAATACAACCGCGGCGATGCAGCCGATTACGTCGATGAAGAAGCCTTTCAAGATTTTGACTATCGTCTTTCTGGTACAGAGGAATTCACCCCTGAGCGATGTGAGGAACTGGAAACCGCCTATTGGAAATCCTTAATGTACAACAATCCCATGTACGGTGCGGATATGCCTGGATCCCTATTCGACGATAGCGTAACGTCGTGGAACGTGGCCAAATTACCCAATCTTCTTGATGTGCTTGGTCAGAAGGTTCCTGGAGTCAACACTGCTTATCTATATCTGGGCATGTGGAAGGCCACCTTCGCCTGGCACCTGGAGGATGTGGATCTGTATAGTATAAACTATATCCACTTTGGCGCCCCAAAGCAGTGGTACAGTATATCCCAGGAGGATATGGGAAAGTTCGAAGCGGCTATGAAGAGTGAGCTTCCAACCCTGCCTTGATATCTTATTTTTTTGTCTTTTTGCGGATTGGTTTATATGCAGCTCCTGCATCTCCCTTCTCTACAAAATTACTCTTGCTAATTAAGGCAAAACTAATGATGCAGGTGTCTGGCCATCGGATGCAAAGAACTGCGACCAGTTCCTTCGCCATAAGACTTACCTGATCTCGCCATCTCTTCTCAAGTCGCAATTTGGCATCTCCGTGAACAAGATGGTCCACTATGAGGGCGAGTTTGTCATAACTTATCCTTATGGGTACCATTCGGGATTCAATCTGGGCTACAACTGCGCTGAATCTGTGAACTTTGCGACCGAAAGCTGGCTGGACTATGCTCGGGTCGCGAAGAAGTGCCACTGCGAAGCTGATAGTGTCTGGATCGATATCGGTGAAATCGAACGAAAACTGCGGGGTGAATCAACACCAGAATACTATGACGAAATGGGGAGCGATCAGGATGAGATGGATATGGACGGGGTGTCGGATCTACTTACGCCCCCTCGTAGCGTTCCTGAAAAGTCTGGGACTCGAGTCAGGAAAAGGAAACGGGAGGCCCAGGAATCGAAAGCTAAGCGGGCTAAATTGCATGTGACTGGTCCGAAGAAGATCCGCTGCGTGCTCTGTCCGAACAGCATGGATTACGAGGAACTTCTGGCGACGGAAGATGGTAAATCTCATGCTCATCGGAGGTGTGCCACTTACATCGAAGAGACGACAATCCTCAGGGACGATTCTGGCACTGAGGTTGTCTGTGACGTCGATAAAGTTCCCAAGGCCCGCCTGGGTTTGAAATGTTTGTTCTGTCGCGAAATCAACGGCGCATGCTTCCAGTGCATGCACGGAAAATGTACCAGAGCCTACCACCCCACCTGCGCTCTGCTTGCTGGTGTACAAGTGGAGTATGGAGCGGTTGCAGTGATGGCTGATGACGGCCTTGAATATTCCGTGCCCGGGGTTGATTTAAAATGCAAGTATCATCGACCGAAGAAGTATGCGTATATGCAAGGAGAGACGCTGGATTTGGACCCGAAGTTGACCCAGGTAGCGAGGAATATTCAGGCGGGGGAGTTGGTGCAGTTTCAGGCTGATAAGGAAATTAACGGGGCTGTTGTGCTTGAAAATCGACCAGTGGAGAGGTCCGTGCTTGTCAAGGTTTTGCCGAGAGGGTATGTTTGGAAATATTTTTCTGCTCCTTATTTGAAGAAGATGATGATCACGACAGACGATAGGTTCTTGGTGCTTGCTGCTAACATTCATTGTTTATTTATTAGTGATGTGATGGAATTGCCGTATAGATTTTTGCTCATAGTGAAAAAATCTTCGTTCCCCCCGCTCCCAGCCGGAATTAAACCCCTGCCATCCCACCTTGCGCGAAAACCAGACGCCAAGAAAGATTTGACTTCGTCCCTCCCGTCTCCCGGTACTCCATTTGGTGATGCGCGGTTTGTCTATCAATGGGGCGAGTTTATTTCTGCGAAGCCTCCGTTCAATTCATCTAGTACAAAAGTTGATCTATCAAAGCCCGAGCAAATATGGTATTATCTAGGGAAGTCGTCGACGGAGTGTCGTGCACAGTACACCGAAAACCCCGATAAGTTGTCGCACAATCCCCGGTCAAATTTTTTGGAGAGTGTAAAATCGCTCAATGCTCCCGTCGCGACAACTCATCACCACCCCTCGTATGCCCGCAATTACCCCTCCAGCCCATTTACAAGGCACCCAACCGCACCACAACGCCCCACAGTAACGTCTGTTTCAGTTTCGCAACCCACACAAACCGCAACGGCCAAACCACAACCCGTAAAATCGCCTACTGTTGCTACTACCACTACTACTGCTGCTGCTGCTGCTACTGCTTCCACCACCACCAATACTACCGCCAATATTGCCCATAATTTAATCAAGTCTCAACCAGTTAAATCTTCGCAATTCATATCCCAGTCGCCCACTTCACACCCAACCAACTCTCAACTGCCAATTGAAAAGTTACAACCGCCGGAACCTCATAATAATAACCATAAAATGTCAGTATGGGCTGGTGACATCACATCCCAGTTCACCATGGCCAGACGTCTTGTGGCTTCGATTACAGATCACGCCAACCTTCGCGCTGGATATACCATTGTCAATTCCGACTTTGTCGTCCAGACGCTTCTGGGACAGGCTGGTTCGGTACTTCCCAAGAATGGAATGGAAAAGCTCAAGACGGCAATGTCGGAATCTATGGTTAAGCCCAAAGGCAGCAATCAAAATATTAATAATAATAACACTAATAATAACGACGCTGACTACGCGCCGTTGCAACCGTTAAACATGAAGGCAGATGAAGTAGATCACCTGCTACGGATGCTGCGGTTTGCTCTTATGAATCTCACCCCAAAGGGGACAACGGTAGCTGAAAAAAAGCCCCCGGAAGAAAAAGCCCTGCAGGAGGTACCTGTTAATGAACCCTGCGGTCCGCGGCCCAAGTTTGAAGGGAAGTATGCTTATCTCGACATGCAACGGCACCAGTCGGCTACCGTGTACCAATCGCCATATGCGCCTGGGTTTGGGTTTTCAGACTATGCTCGGCGGGAGTATAATCTAATTGGTGAGGTGTTTGCAGAGCCGAAACCGTCATTGGCTATTCAGTATTTTGACGGTCTTTCCCGGGAGGATAAGGAAAAGGTCATTGAGGCTTGTGGGGTGGATGTTACGGTTCCAAGAAGGAAGATACGCATGCAAGTACCGACTGTGGAGGAGCATTTGGCGCTTGACACTGGCCCCGGTAACCACAATAATCATCATGTTGGGGTCCTGGGTGTTGGCGTTTCCAGATTCGGACAACAACCATCTTCATTATCCTCGACGTCGTCATTCCCTGTCCCGTCGTCTCTAGATGCCATGACTCTCGACGATCCTCACCACCACCTCCACGGCCTCCACAACCACGCGCAAAACCACAACCACCTCTCCGTATTCGACATGCACATGTCCATGACCATGCCCCTCCCCGCCACTGCTGACTCCCCCGCTTCTGCCTCCGGTTGCTCGACCTTTGGCCGGCCCCCACTCCGTTACCAATCCCCACACGATTTCTCCCTCCACATCGAGCACGAATCCTCCATCCTCCCACGCCATCTCCAGCTGCATGACCACGACCTCTTCGGCGACCAACAGGCGAACCAGCGCTTCTGGCAGCGCAGCGTCGGGCCGTGGGTTGATGGCGATTGCGGCAATAGCGATGCGGGCGGTGGCGGAAAGTTGCCCGTTGATGGGCGCGAGAGGGATGACGAGCATAGACCGTTCTTCGGACCGCATGAGAGGCCGGCAGGGTTTGGGAGTGCTGGGAATGATTATGCGTCGTCGGACTTAGATATGGGGAGGGGTCCGGGATCGTTGCACAGTATGGATATGGCTGGGTTTGGGTTTGATGGGCCGGACGAGGGGGGAAGTCCTTGATTAAGGAATCGGGTTATTTTTGGTTTTGAAAACCACATCATCCGCTCCGCCCGGCGGTGTCCCGTTTACGTCTTTTGAACGACGTGCTAGCCCTCCTTGGCATATTGGAGCTCCGTTGCATGACGGTTTATGCGCAAACAAACGCTGTTTATGCGCCAGCGCTGCTTCATTCCTGTCTATGAGCGAGGCCACTGATTCCGTCCTTGTCCCCGCGTCCGGATCCCCGCCAACCCATCCACTTTGCTTTCTCAATGGGAACGAGAATAACGACAACGAAAATAAAAATGAATTCATTGCCTATTTTGTTTGCCTTGCTTGCGTGCTTGCCTGGTTGCGTTTTTTGAGTCTTTTTCTCGCATGCTTCGTGGTGCTGCGCATATCATGATATGTTATGACATCTACTGATCTTCATCTACCCTGAGGTCCTTGGAACCCCGTTCCCTACACCCTTATTTAACTTGTTGCAATCCGGGGTTCTGCATCCTGCATTCTGCACTCTGCGCCGTGGGTGTTTGTTTGATTTGTTTGCCTCGTGTTGCTTCTTGCATATTACAACACTGAAAACGAAAATTCATGAGGGAAACAGAAAAAAAATAAAATAAAAACACACATAATGTATAGATGATGCCTGCTTGTTTGGTTTCGCTCGTTCGTTTTTGACCCAAAAAAGAAACACTCACGACCGATATGATATGACCCTCCGTCCCCGCCCAATCTGTGTAATTCATTCCGCATTGTCGAATTTTTTACTTACTACCTGCTACACTCGCCCCTGATATTATGCCACGTTACACTATTCCATTTGCATGTGCTACGAAGCACTACGGACAATGGACAAATATCAGAAACAGCCATTCCACAGACATATATACATACATACAATGAGATGAGAAACGATTTTTGCCCCCCCCCTTGTTTTTAATGATCTTGGTATTTTTGAGATACGATTCTTTCTTTTCCCCGCTTCTTCGGTTTCCTTCGTGCTTGTGACATGGGGATGGGACAGGTGTGAATGAATGGGGAAGAACGAGATAGGAAAGCAAAAAGTGGAAAATACAAAATATTCACTCTTCCCCCCCTCCCTCTTGCCCCCTACCCTTCTCAAAACGCTACAAATTCAACATTTAACACAACCCACACCTCATCGCCCCATTGCATCTCAACATAATTTCCGATTCTCCTCCTTATTACATCCCTGTTGTCTATGCGTACGATATTCCCCAAACAAAAGCTAGCTCTCTGAATTCGCTCTCCCCATCTCCACTTCTTGCCCCCTTCTCTCTCAGATGAGAAAGTTTTCTTAAAAAAATGTTTTTCCTTTTTTGGCCGTTTCTACCATTGCCCTATTGTTGCCTTAAAAGAAATAAGCTGTTTACTTGATATCCCAACCCCCGGCTCCTTTTTTGCCCTTTATTTGCGGTTTGGCCAGGTTTGGGGCATGGAGGTATGGGGGTGACAAAAGATAGGAAAAATGGACGACTGATTTGGCTGGTACCGCACTATGAGCTAGTTAGATAGATATTTGGCCGTTTTTTTCTTTCATTCTTTCTTTTTTTTTCAAAAAAAACATTCTCCTTTTTCATTTTTATTAACTATATGTATACCTTTTAGCTTAGTTAGCTTAAGAGGAAAAAGGAAGAAGGAAAAAGAAAAAGAAAAAGAAAAAAAAGAAAAAAAGGGCGCCTGTTTCTTCAAGGCATTTATTTTATACTATTAATATTACTACTTTTCCAAAAAAAAAAAAAAAAAAAAAAAAAAAAAAAAAAAAAAAAATTGAAATGTTTTTCTTGGTTCTTGGTTATTATTTTGTGCTTTTTTTAAAAAATATATATATAATATAATGTGTATATTTTCAGGTGATTTTTCACTTCAGTATTGGGGAGATTAACTGAAAATTTGTCAAAAAGAAGAGGCAGATTGATATATAAATATATATCACGTAGGCAGTAACTGTGGTCAGAAACGGTGACTTCGTTAAACAGCTGTTGATATGCTGATTATCATTGTGTATACTGTCAATATTCATTCGTCAACAATGTCATGGCTTTTGCGTGAAGACACAAGGGAAAAATAAAAATAAAAAAAATTCAAAGGGGGGTTGGTTTATAAAGTGCTGAACATATTTTTTTTCTCTTTTGCTATGTCCCATTCCCCCTTTCTTTTCTTTGCCTAATAATATGTTTAGTCTGCACTGAGGAACTAAAAGATTATTTTAGCTGCCCGTTATCCATTAGATTTCAGAACTTCAGAAAGAAAGAGGTAACTAGGGGAGGGGCATATCATATCATCATCAGGGATAATCAGGGGAGCTTCATAGCTCTGCATCACCGATTTGATTCTCCACATACCTACCCTAACTACCCTACCGCCTTCGCCATTTCGACAATGAGCTACTTTTACATGAACGGCCAGTTATACTTTGGCACGCCACCGGCCCAACAACCTAGTGCGCAGCAGCCGATGATTCCCGGCCAGAACACGAATGCCTTCGGTAATCAGGGGCCCGTTGCGTATGGAAACCAAGTCCCCGCACAGTTCGTAGCTCCCGTGCCGTATAACGGTAGCGGTAGCGGTAGCGGTAGCGGAATACAGCATCAACGATATGCACAACCACAACCACAATCACGTCCATGTCCACGTCCACGACCACCTCCACAGCCAAAACCACATCCAGAGGAGATCAAGCAGAGCATTTCGGCAGTCCATACCTTCTGGGCCAACCGCATGGCTACCACCTGCCACGTCTGCCGCAAGAAACTCATCACCCGCAGCTTCGACGTCGTAGCATGGATTAAGCGCTGGACCAGCGTCGCCGGGCGCAACCGCGACAAGGCAACCCTGATCTGCGCAGCGGAGTGCATGAGCTGTGGTGGTGATGGTGTCCTCACATGCCTGGGCTGCGGGAAAAAGCCGAACAAGGACGCTCCTGTGCGCAGTGTGCAGAGTTATTATATGCAGTGGTGCTGCCGGCTGGGCAGGATGTTTATCATCTGGGTCATGCTGGCGCGGTATGACTTGATGGAGATCGATATGCAGCATTCCGGCGCGGCGGCGGACGGGAAGGGAAATAACAATGCCGCCAGGATGGCCGGGACGCTTGATTCGCGGGGCGTGGGGTACGCGGCTGAGCGCTCGGGGAATTTCAGCCCGTTTATCAACTTGTATTATTCGGGTCCGCCGCCTGCGGTTCTTGAGCGGGCGATCGAGTTTAAGAGCGAGGATGCGAAGATGGACGGGGTTACGGAGATGATGGCGGGGATTGTGACGGAGCTGATCCCGACGTGGAACAATAGGGATTTACCGCCAGAGCTGCACGCGATGCTGCAGCTGACCATGCTCATTGATCGGGCGACGGATTTGCTGCGCAATGACTCCATTGAGGAGGTTAGCAAGCGTGCGGGGGTTTACTCGAGCGTGCTCTGCTTTGTACAGAGGATTGGCGAGCATCCTGAGCTTAGGGATCTTGTGCAGGGACAGCGGTACTGCAAGCTTAGCACCGCGGGCTTGCAGGCGATATGTGATGGTTTGGAGAAGGATTGGGAGAAGGCGCTGATATTGGGTGAGAAGATCCCGTCTCTGGCGGAGAGGCTGGAGCAGTTGGCGAAACAGAGCGAGATCATCCAGAGATACACTGCTACGAAGTGCATCAAGTCGACGCCGGAGGGGAAAGTGATGATGAAATTGTGTAACGAAATAACGGCTATTTATAAAGCGATCGGTGGATCTACAGGTGCAGGAGTTGCGCAACAGGGAGCAACGATGAAGAAAACGGGGTTATTCGCTGAGGAGAAATGGGTGAAGTTCCACAAGGAGCGTTGCCTCCTTCGAAACGATGCCGTGCTTCGGCATGAGAATAGTGTATTTGCGTCGGCCGCGGCTAAGTTGACTCTCTGCTCGCCGGGTCGCATGAAAAAGTTGGTCACCGATATTGCGGGCATGTCCACATCGTTGCCTCAGGGGATTTTTGTTCAGGTGGGCGAATCCCGGCCTGATGTGATGAGGTGTCTGATCATGGGCCATCCCGATACTCCTTACGCTTATGGTCTTTTCGAGTAAGTATAGTCATAAGAGCCATAGCGCTCTCTAGCCCTCTCCTCCCGCCCGCTTGATAATGCGCGTGCGCTGTGCTAATTCTTCGTGATGAATAGTTTTGATATATTCTGCGATGAGAACTATCCAAAACGACCGCCTTTAGTGCACTGCCGCACGGCTGTGAACCATGCGGGATTGAGTCCAAACCTCCACGACGATGGGAAAGGTACGTTCCAAGAAAAAGAAAAGAAAAAGCAATCTCCACCAAAATTGAATTTTCCTTTTTTTTCCCCCGCTGACATGACATGATACGCATATATTTAGTCTGCCTCTCACTGCTAGGGACCTGGAAAGAAGGCGACCAGGCCGCACAATGGCAGCCCGATAAATCAACCATCCTATCCGTCCTCATCAGCTTGCAGGCCATGGTCCTTTCCGAGGATCCGTACCGCCAGGAACCCGCCCACAGCGGCGAAGTAGGACCACAGGCTGACGCCCAGGCGCGCAAATATATCCTCGACTCCAGGCCGCTGAACGTCAAGTATGCAATGATTGACTGGCTCCGGGAGCCGGGCAAGCGCAACGGGATCTGGATGAATGTCGTGCGGGCGCATTTCCGCATCAACAAGACGCAGATCTTGCAGAAGGTGAACGGGTGGGCGCGGGAGGATTCGAGGATTTCGAAGTGGCGTTCGTCCCAGCAGAGCACCAGAGCGTTCACGTTTCAGCAGAGGGTTTGGAACTTGCCGGGGGAGTTGAGGAGGGAGTTGGATAAGTTGGGTTAGGCTGAGGGATTCTGGGTGCCTTTTTCCTTTTTTTTTTTTTTTTTTTGTCCCCTTTTCTTGCATGCTTCCTATTTGTTGTTCCTGCTCTTGTTCTCATTTTAAATGCTCAAAAGACATGGATCTGGTGCTAGGTTGGAGTGAAAAAGCTGCCCTCTAACTGGGATAGGAATTGGCTCTTGTTTGTGTTTTCCTATGTGAATAGTCAGCCACAATTATATTAATTGCAGTATAAACGGATTTTATGAACATCAAAAGGGTAGCAGTGTTTATCTGGAGATTTACCGTTGCGCACTTTTAATATATGGCAAGGCCGGATCATAGTCAGCAAAGGTCGCTTGACAAATGAACATCTTCAGTAGACAAACGGAAGCTGAACTAACTATGCCTCTGAACAGCCCGCTGGCCTCTCCATGTCTTCAAAAGGAGAGAGTTGAGTGGGATAGATGTTTCTTCCCAGCTTGAGCACTGAGCTATCTCCAGGATCACAGCAATCCCACTCATTCAAACCCACAAACATCCCTCTCGGTTTCAGCAACGACAAGAAAAGCCACCCGGCCCTAATCTCTTTGCCTATCTCATCAGCTCCCCAACCGGCCCGAGTTGGTGAGGGTCTTGGAGTCAGCCACATTTCCTTTCCTGGGACCAGCACGCCCTCTCCCATCTTAGCGCCCTCGGATGGCGTTGGTTTGGCTGGTGCTTATTACTGCTTAACGGTCAGTAGCGGAGACTCATGGCGTGATGGACACCGATCGTTCGAGATGGTAAACCTGGATAACGCCTCCAATGCAGGAGTATCGAAGCCTGTGTAGAAGAGGCTGCGAAGAGGCTGCGGTAGTTGAAGTCTCATAGCTCTCCTAGGTCATTTTTCAACTTTAACGTTAACTTATGATATAATCACCGAAAGGAGCCACTTATTTTTTGCCCCCGAATCTTGCTGTCCCGTTATTCTGATCTTAGTTTTGCAACATTGCAACGCAAACCACAGGGTGATGCTTTTTACAAGGAGACAGGCCTGTTCCTGCTGGGGATTGGATTGTGACTCCAAAACGGCTTTAATCAGCATCAAATCCTTGCGAGGATCAAATAATTCAGCCCTTGCTTGACCCTTGCTCGCCCGATTTTCTTCGACTGGGACAAGGGACCAGCAGCTCCGTGCACCAAGTTAACTATCTGTTTTTGTTTTGGGTCTGTTTTAGTGCTATCTCGAGCTCTCGCTGCGTGCCTGCGACTGGAATACCTTGCCCGCTCCCTGCTTGCTCGTTGACCACCTCCAAGCTTGCAGCAATAAAGTAATATCTCCGACTCCGTCAATCTGCAGCTGCCCCCCTCCCAGAAAAAACATCTCTCCGTCTCGCTGCTGGATTCAACTGAGCTGCTCGAACCTCTCCCGTCTGGGTCTCTGGGCGGCCAACTCCAAGAACCACCCCCACCCTCCCGTCGCTCCACCAGACCTAACATCTGGCACATGCGGGGAAGGTATACGAGGCCCCCGGGTATTCTTTTTGCTCCACAGCTCGTTCTCTGGGGTTTGATATCGGTTCAAAAACAGGCTGATTTCCCCATTTGCGACGAGATTCCTGCCCTTATTATTGTTGAACGCAGAAAGTCTCGACATTCTGTCGCTTCATTTTTCGGAACCCCCTCCCTCCACCGTCTCCTTTTCCCTGATATTCAACTCCGGTCATATTAGGTATATTCCAGTTGCTACTAGAGTCTTGCCGATATGGAAGCAGGACAGGCCGATTCTGGCTCGGCGGATGCGAAGGCGGATGCTGCGCTGGAGAAAATGGGTTACAAAGGGGAATTGCCGCGACATCTGGGCATGATGAGTGTATTGGGATTGTATGTTTTGTTTGCTCTAACTATCACTGTTCTGATTTTTTTTTTTTTTTTTTTTTTTTTTTTTTTTTTTTTTGGAAAATGATATCCCACAAGGTACATGGTGCCGGGGATTACAACACAAGCTAATAAAGGGGAATGAAAATATTCCCGTTGTGTGTAGGTCCTTTGCTATCATGGCCGCTCCATTCGGTCTAAGTACAACGCTATATATCAACCTGGTAGATGGACTCAGCGTCACTATCCTCTGGGGCTGGGTGTTTGTCACGCTCATCTCCATTGCCATTGCCGCATCCCTTGCTGAAATATGCTCGGTTTATCCTACAGCCGGTGGTGTATACTACTGGAGCGCAATGTTGTCCACAAAAGAATGGGCCCCGTTGATGTCATTTATCGACGGCTGGCTGACCCTTGTGGGCAATTGGACCGTCACTCTCAGCATCAATTTCTCAGGAGGCCAGTTAATTCTCAGCGCAATTTCGCTGTGGAGAGAGGATTTTGTCCCCAATGAGTGGCAGACTATCTTGATGTTCTGGGCTGTGATGCTGGTTTGCGCTTTGGTGAATGTGTTTGGGGCAAGGTATCTTGACCTCATCAACAAAGTCTGCATATACTGGACGGCGGCAAGCGTTGTGATCATCATGGTCACGTTGCTGTCGATGGCGAAGCAAAAGAACCATGCCAGCTTTGTGTTTGGGCACTTCGACGCTTCCACGAGCGGCTGGTCAGTACTTCTGATTTACTCCCCCGAAAATCTCCTTTAACAGCATTTAAACCGTCTCTTTCCAACCACCAATACTAATTGATCCCTCACACCAGGCCGAGCGGCTGGGCTTTCTTCGTCGGCTTACTCCAAGCCGCATACACCCTAACCGGCTACGGCATGGTAGCCGCAATGTGCGAAGAGACCCAAAACCCGCACCGCGAGGTGCCCAAGGCCATCGTGCTATCCGTCGTAGCAGCCGGTATCACCGGCCTCGCTTACATCCTCCCAGTCCTCTTCGTCCTCCCACCCGTCGAGCTGCTGCGGGCCGTCGCTAACGGACAACCAATCGGTCTCCTCTTCAAGACCGTAACGGGTTCCGCAGCCGGCGGCTTCGGCCTCCTCTTCCTCATCCTGGGCATCCAGCTCTTTGCCGGAATCGGCGCCCTGACCGCCGCCAGCCGCTGCACGTACGCCTTTGCGCGCGACGGCGCGATCCCGGGCTCCAGGCTGTGGCGTAGGGTCAGCAAGCGCTTCGACGTGCCACTGTGGGGTCTTATATTGTCGACGCTCGTCGACTGTCTGCTGGGGCTGATATTTTTCGGCTCCAGCGCGGCGTTCAACTCGTTCACGGGGGTCGCGACCATCTGCCTTTCGGCGTCCTATGGGGTGCCGATTCTCGTCTCCGTCGTGCGCGGGCGGCAGAAGGTGCGCAACGCACCTTTCTCGCTGGGCAGGTTCGGGTACGCTATCAATATGGTGGCGGTGTCGTGGATTACGCTGGCGATTGCGCTGTTCTGCATGCCCATCTCCCTACCCGTGACGGCGTCGACGATGAATTATGCCAGCGTGGTGTTTGCGGGGTTTGCGACGATTAGTGTTTTTTGGTACTTTGTGCGGGCGCGCAAGGAGTTTACGGGCCCGCCTATCATGTTGGAGGGTGAAGATGTGAGGGAGAGTGCGGCTGTGATTCCGGAGAAGATTTCGCCGCATGTTGAGGAAGGGCCTGGGTCTGAGGCGCGGGATCAGGCAGATATGAAGACGGAATAGTACGCTAGGTTCCATCGATGGGGGTTTGATGACATTGGGTTTGACTATTGGCTAGACGGCCGAATGCTTTCAGACGTGAGTTTTGATCAAACAGGTTCTATGTACGCATAGATCTTATCCAATTATGTATTTACCATTAATTAATGAACATCCCGCTGTACCTTTCATTGATCAATCATATGATGACGGCACCCCATAGCTCGAGCCACTGTCCATTCCATCCCTGTAGGGCTTCACTGTAGCTTGGTTCTTGAAATCTTCCATCCCATGTTAACGTCCCTGTGCGAAGCATACTTATGTAGAATAAAAAGAGGGCGGTATTTCAAGGATTTGATATTTACACCCAGAGTCAGGCTATTTATACCTGAAAAAAAAACCACTGTTACTTTTTTGTAGGTTTAGTGTATACACAGTCTTACATACAAAATTACTAGTGTTCCAGAGTAGACCTTGAAGTTGAGAAGAACTCTATGGTGTTTTACGTACTGTACAATTCTCTACACGTAGTAATTCTCAGATTTAGAGCTGCCAGGTCTGAGCTCTTACCATCTAGCCACACCTGGCACTCATCTATATAGTGTGGCTTACTTGCTTGTCCCAACTTCTGAGCCTCTCAGACTCTCTGGGAATTCAGGCTCTACCACCTAGGTCAAAAAGGCTATAAAACAGCTGACTTCTTGCTAGCCACACCTGGGATCTATCCTTATAGTGATGGCTCACCTGTGCCTGCTCCCAGCTCCAGAGTCTATCAGTACAATTCCTCTAACTGTAATAGTAAGTCTGAGATCTCTGGAGAAGCTCAGAAATCAGAGCAGGCAAGGTAGACACTATATATAGATGAGTGCCAGGTGTGGCTGGCAGGAGTCAGCTGTTTTATGATCTTTTTGATCTAGATAATATTATATTGTATGAACTGCAGGCACTGTACAGAATAGCTGAGGAAGAGAGAGACTGAGGGAACTACATTCAAAGACTGGTTATTTTGTGTGTAATATCATGTACACATTAAAAATATAAAAATAAATATCACCATCTCAAGCCCCTGCGTGCAATTCGGACGTAACCCTCAGATCCGGGACGCCACACTTGGCCTTATGCCAACTAGCCAGGTGTTCCGAAAGCGAACATGTGCAGATGAACAACCGTGGAATATCGTGCTGCCTGACAAGTCCAAAGGGGAATTTCCAGAAAGATAATATGTGTCTGTGTTCCGTATGCATGTATCCCCGCCGCAGTGTTCAGTTAGCATCCCCGGCTATGTAGTAGATTAACCAAAGCAAGGGGTAGCTGAGATGAGACCTCCCTCCTCAGAAACTTCCCCAGGAACTTTCTTTTCTATCGAGTTCCCGTTTTGGGAAATCCGAATCTCACATCGTTGGTTTGTTCTTGCAATGAACAACCGGCCAGAAACCGGCCACAAATGAGCAAGCAGTATCCCGGTTTCGGCGCCGCGCCTTTGATCAAACTTGCCCAATTGTTTTCAAACTTGGCGGCTTTTTGGTCGACATCAATATGCCCAATTGTTTTCAAACCTGGGGGGGGTGTCTTCTGGTCGGACCTCGGATAGCTCGTTTGGTAAGCTTGTTCGCTAAAAACTGACTTTGTCGTTAGCCGGCGAAACTACCCAGATAGCTCGCTCCAAGAGTCCTACTTCCGCAGGCAGGATGAGCTTCTTGCTTGGAACACGAGCTGCTACGCTGTAATAAATCCTGCTAAGGTGGTGGGTGAAGAATAACTCCGTGATAGTGTTCGCAGTGATGTCGTTTGCCCAGACGGCTGGCATCATATCATGCCCTGCGAGTTATAGACTTATAGTTACCACTGAAGCTTTCGCACGCTGGGTATCATCAGCGTCTCGCCTTTTGCCGTATTCTGTTAAGAGGATCAATTGCTTTCAATTATGCTTCCTGCCATTTCACTCCGCATCCTTCTATTCCACTCTGCCCCGCATAGTGCTCGAATATGTGGCCTTCTACTCCTCGAGAAAGTCTATTTCGTAAATAGACAGATGCCTAGCTAGGCAAGTTGTGGCTTGTCCGGGGATTATTTGTCTCTTGCAATTGTTGTTTTGCCCCTCAAGACCCCAGTGAAGTGCGGGGGGAAGATGGCGTTGGGCCGTTGTATTGTTGTCTATTCCTTTATCCGGGCGTGTTATGCAGGTGTAAGTTATCTATCCCGCCGGCCGGGAGAAACCAAAGCAGTATCTTGCTGTTTGGACTTTCTCTTCTTCTCACTCTCTCTCCCTTTCTCTCTCTCTACAATCTCCCTTTTTCATCAACATAGCTCCGGAGGGTATTATCATCAAGAGTAATACATACCAGTTTGCTACGTTAGCTAGCCTCTTATTGCACGCTGTGTGCTGTTCTTTCTCATCATCTTATCTTCTCAAACTCTCCCCCGATATTCCCTTCGTTGAATATCTCTCTATTTGACTGGCTCCCATAACCAAATCTACCTGGATATCAAGCACAATGTCTCCCACTGGACAGCGAGTTGCCCAGGTTGCTGGCATGCTGGGCGCCACAAAGTCTCCCGATGAGCTTCCCTGGAATCCTGATCATACAAAACTGCCCCTCCGCAAGAACCTGCCAAAGGTCCCCGGTGCGCCTGATGGTGCTGCTTGGGTCTGGGGCAAAAATGACTATGTGCGTGGAGCGCGCCTCTCTTTCTTAATTGGCACTTATATCAGATACCAAACACGGAGGACTGACATGCTGCGTTTTGTTTTGTTTTTTTTTTGCGCCAAACAGATTGGTAGATTGAATCTGCTCACGCCAACCCGAGTCAAGGCTGCAGCCGACGAGATCAAGACGGGGGAGATTGTGCCTCTCAAGTATGCAGTTAAACCTCACCACTCGAATCAGAGCTTGATCCCTCTGCTGTCTAAGAGGAAATTCATATAGCTGACTGAACTTGTCATGTCACAGCCTTCCGTTGAACGTCCCGGAGCAGCCAGGATTTGGCCGCGAAAAATTTGTCCACTCTATCAAAGCCCTGGTCCCGGGAATTGCGTATGACGACAATTACCAGCTCAACACACAAAGTGGAACGCAGTGGGACGGCTTTAGACATGTATGTGCACTGCTTGTTATTTATATGTAATAGGTGCATTTAACACTAACATATACATCGTGCACAGTTTGCTCACATCGCAACCCAAACATTTTACAATGGAGTAAGCAACACATTACTAGAAAGCCCCAAAGCAATGCAAATTCCTATTAACACGCCCTCCCCAGACAAAAGCAGACGATATCGTCGGCCCCAACGCCAATCACAACTGCAGCATCCACCACTGGGCAGAACACGGCATCGCCGGCCGCGGCGTCCTCCTCGACTACCGCTCCTACGCCAAAGCCAACAACATCACCTACGACCCATACACCCCGCACGCCATCACCTTCGAAGAACTCCAGAAATGTGGCAAGGCCCAGGGCATCGACATCCGCCCCGAATCGCAAGGCGGCGACATCAAAGTCGGCGATCTCCTCCTGATCCGCTCCGGGTTCGTGGAGGCGTACCACGAGCGCAGCCCGGAGGAACGCTCGCGACTCGCCCTGCGCGGACACGGGAAGGGGGATGGCCAGCCAGATGCCTCAGGCGAGGTCGAGCAGTATGCAGGCGTGGCGCAGGAAGACGCCATGCTCGATTGGTTGCACGACTGTTACTTCGCGGCTGTAGCGGGCGATGCGCCTGCGTTTGAGCGCTGGCCGACTCCCGTCGAGTACTACATGCATGAACATATCCTTGCGCTCTGGGGCATGCCGTTGGGGGAGATGTGGAATTTGGAGGCGTTGGCGGAGAAATGTCGTGAGAGGGGGCGGTATTACTTTTTCGTGACTAGTGCACCTGCGAACGTGAAGGGTATGTTACTTTTATTTTATTTTATTTATTTTTTTTGTTTTCATGTCCCCCACATGCATGGCCCAATTTATCTCCCACCCCCAGCTTCTACCTGCATGCTCTTTTGCTCTATCATTTTTTTCTCTGGCTTTCACTCTACTAATCAACCCTCACTAGGCGGCGTTGGCTCCCACGCAAATGTAACCGCAATCTTCTAAATTAGAAATAGGAGGAAGAATGGAAATGGAAATGGAAAACAGAGCAAGGAGGGAGGCCCAGAGGTCAAGCGATTTAAGCACGGCGAAAGTGGAGTTGAATTTCATGGTAATGTTATTCTACATCTCAATTGGGGGGGTGGCAGTGTCCCTTTTTTTTCCTTTTTCTTTTCTTTTCTTTTCTTTTTTTCCCGGTTCGATATGGTATGCGATAATGTAGTAGCTAGGTACGACATACCTACAGTTCTTTTTTTAGCCTTTATGCAACGGTGTGTATTTTGCATTTGCATATGTAACTAGACTGGGTTGGCCGCAGTCGGCCGGCGGCCCTGTTGTATGTAGAATGCTTAAGTTACATATTGTGGATGATTGGTTGTATTACCATCTCTTGTTCTTTCTTCGCAACTTTGTTTTATGTTGCTGCGATACCTACTTCCACTGAGTCAGGACGAGATGTTGAAATATGTACGGAGTAGCGTGTTTCTATTTTGTTTCCCTGCGTTATGCGCTGTTCGAGCGAGTTTATTGATATTTAACAACTATATTTGTTCTCGTCGTATGAAAGGATCAAGGGCCGCAATGGATGATGCCCAAAAAGTCAAGCTTAGATCTCAAAGGGCAGGGTTATGCAGTAATTCTTAGAACTGTAGTAAGGGAAAAAAAAAAAAAAAAAAAAAAAAAAAAAAAAAAAAAGAAGCTTCAAATGTAATTCTAGAATAACCTGTATGAACTATATATGATAACTGTGAAAGATATAATGCTTGATTGATTATATATAGTGAACACTAGCTACACAGAAGTTATATGATGTGAAAGAGTATGTGAGAAGATGAATAGACCTTACATCTGGTCATGGTGGCAGCTTTATATCTTCAGCTATCTTGGCGCATGGCCATTGAACTTGGAGAATTATGCATTTTGATGAGCATCCTCCAAGGTAAAATACCCTTCCGTAAATTGAGTGTGCAGCCTCTGTGGGAAGGTCAATAATTTATGAAAGGTTAGTTAAACCTAGGAGGCTAGGACCCAGGACTAACTTTTCCATGGTTTCAAATCACGCTTATTACTTATAGTCTCATCATCAGTCCTGGTTTCAGATACAGTCAGTCACAGCTAGTGTGTCTATCACACCTATCTTTTTGTTGCTATAGTTAGGCATCTGACTGCACACTACAATTATTTTCTTTTCTTCTTTTTTTTTCTTTTTTTTTATTTATTTATTTATTTTTTTTTTTTTTGAGATATTTAAATCACCCGAAAATAGTGAATAACTACATAATGCAGAGCAGATTGAAAAAAAGTAATAAGAATGCATCAATTGATATATAATAAGAAATAAGATGATGTTCCATATTTTGAATGAAGTAAGTAGTAGTTATATGTTATATGACAAGAATTCCCTGAATTGACAGCTTTTCTGTTTAAAACAGATCTCATAATCTGTGAGAGATATAATGCTTTGATTGATTATATATAGTGAATGCTAGCTATGCAGAAACTATGTATATGATGTGGAAGATTACATGAGAAGGCGGATAGGTCTGACAATAACAATAGCAAATTCCATGATATCTGGATTCCAGTACGGTTGCTTACCCACGTTTGCAAAAGCTCAACAAACGAAAAACATTATGATACCTCAGGTTTCACAACTTTGCCTTCCCAGTTTCCTCTTTCTCTTCCTCCCGAGCCTTCTTCGCCTGCCTCGTGGATTTCTCAATCCTATTTGGCCCGATAAATCCAAACAGATATGCACCAATCTTGCGCATTTGGATCTCTTCGGAGCCCTCCGTAATGCGATAGCGACGGAAATGACGGTATATGTGCTCAAACGGCTTGTGACGGGAGTAGCCGTTGCCGCCATGAATCTATTTTTGTTTAAGAAAAAAAAAAAATTTAAACCACGCGTCAGCAGTTCCCCTTTCAGGAAAACGCATCGCAAAGGGGTATTTATGAATATTATAATTATATTACTTACCTGAATAGCCCTATCCGCCGCCTGACAACACAACCGGTTCGCCCAGAAGTTACACATGGCCACCTTGTGCGTCAACCGCTTCTCAATCTCCACCCACGGCTTCTTGGACCCTGGCACGGGCGAGTCGATATGACCCCCACACTCCGCCGTGACCTGATCCATCTCCCACCCCGTGCGCAATATCAACAATCTCAACATCTCCACCTGCGTCATCAGCTCCACCACCTGGAACTGAATCGCCTGGTTATCCGAGAGCGTCTTTCCCTTGCCCCAAATCTCCCTCTCGTTGGCATACTCGATCGCCTTGTCGAGACAGAAGCGCGCAGCCCCGCACGAAGACGCCGCTTGCCGGATCCGGTTCTCGTGCACGAACGTCTGTGCGATCGCAAGACCCCTATCCAGCTCCCCCAGCACCGCAGAGCGCGGCACGAAGACGTCCTCTAGAGCCACCGTCGCGTGGTCCGTGGGCATGTTAAGCGTCCATTCGTAGCTGAGGATGTTGACGCCCGGTGTCTCGCGTGGCACGAGGAAGGCGGTGATCCCCCGTGCCGAGCCCGGGGCGCCGGACGTCCGCGCGAAGATGATCATGTGCGTACAGTTGTGCGCGCCCGTCTGCCACTTTTTGGCGCCGTTGATTACGAAGCCGTCCACGGCGTTGGCAGCGCCTGAACCTGCCGGGTATTCTCGCTGAGCGGGACGGGCAGCTGTCTCCATGAAGGTGGCATCACTGCCGTGTTTGGGCTCTGTCAGGCCGAAGGTCGCGCGGAACTGACCCTTCAGGTGGGCGGGGATGAGCGTGCTGCGCTGCTCTTCGTTCCCAAAGTGGTGCAGCATGAGCACGATTGGGAAATTGCCGATGACGCTGTGTTCGTTTTGGAGGTCGTTTGCGAGAGAGACGCCGCCTCCATAGACTGGGTGCGAGGCTAGGTGGTAGCGGATAGCGCACATCCAGAGGTTTGTGTTAGGGTTAGCTTGCCCACCGTATATTTTGGGAAGGGAGAATCGGTAGAAGCCTTCTTGGTCAGAGAGTTTGCGTGCTTGGGCTAAGATATGAAAGGGGAGCATTAGTACTATGTTTTAATATGTAATAATAGTATTTGTTCCACAAGAAGTTATATCTTATAGGTGTTTGTCTAACCTAGTAACGCTTCCCATTCTTTACGTGGTAATCCTCCATTATCCCAATCAGTTCGTGCATGTTCTCGTCGATAGTCGAAGAAACGATTGTTATCCCTAGCATGCTGTAAGGGGAGGATGGTGTTCTCGATGAATTTGTCGAGGGAGGAAATGTAAGAAACCAGATCTGCCGGAAGATGGAAATTCATGCTGCTCTGAGATTGCGACATGATAATCAAACTACGTGGAAACAATTAAAGAAGTGAAGCTTTTGATCGGCGGCGACAGGTTTCCTAATGTTTATGTAGCAAAGATGAGCGAGGGCTACTATGGGAAAATAAAATCTCAGAAGAAAATAGTATATTAGAGCCGCTAGTAAAAACAGAGAGTTAACAATAGAAGCACGTAATTATATCGTCGTCGTCATATCATCATTGCACTGGGAAGAGGCCTGTTATTGATAGCTTTGCCTGCCGCCGGAAACCGTCCCCCGCAAATTTAGGGCGATGGAGCCGAGCCGAGTCTTGCTCCTCGGTGACGTTTCCGGCTATCAGGGGCTAGCGCCAAGCGTTGTTGCTTGATATTTTTGAACCAAAACATTTGTTTCGAAGCAATTTCTTGAAAGACTTCTATGGCAAGATCGATGAATAATAGTAACAACTGGGGAAGACTCATCAATTATATTAATGAGCGGTTTGATCTGGATGTGCATGTATATGGTTCCTGTCAACAAGGGACAGAAGTGATGATTCTCAGCATTTAGAAAGAAAGTGACAACTGAAAGCATCGAATCCTTGAAACTCATCCTTGAAATTGTTCTGCAACTCATGGCTCTGGCTTGCTGCTATCAAAGTTCCCACACGTTTGCCTGTCAGGTCTCCATGCAGAAAACGAGTTGTGTCTATCCGGACGATGGCAGTCTGTCTCTTGGACGTTGTTGCCAAATAGCCGCTGAGAGCTTTGCGCTTATTTTGGTAGTTAGCCGCCAACAATCGCCAACCAATCAGGAGGAACTTTTTATAAACAAACCTTGAAACATCTTCTCCCTCCGTCAAAATACAGAGGGTTACAGTTGAATGTTGGTGCAAAAACACTTTGAACATGATGCTAACTTCAACTGGAAAACAGCTCAGCATGGGTTCGAACCCTTAAAACTACGGAGTACATACACTAGACACGTCTCACAGATCATCTTTATTTATAACACGTCATGATATTGATTTTTCATATTTCTCAAGACTCTAATTATTTCTAACTCTTTCTAATTCTAATTCCAATCTCTCCTCTAATCTCCAAGCCTCTAATCTAAACTAACTGAGTGTTGAGGGTTGAGAGGAGGGAAAGAGGGACAAGCGAGAATGTATTATTAGTAACTAATATTAAAGTACGGAGTAACTAACTTGAAACAAAATACAATACAAGCATGATGGATCTAATGTAACTATACTAGATGTATTATATCAATGCAGAACAGCCTCTTTCATCAGCAAGATGAAAAAAGGCCAGCTCACCCTATCCAAACCCGCAGTAATCACCTAACAGTCTTTAAAGTAAGTTATAACAAAATCTTTGACCAATCATCGCTCAGTTGACCCTTCATTCAATCTTTCCCAACCAAGCCTGTGCATCTTGTAGCTTCCTCCTCATTTTGAATACACAGGCCTAGCCATCTTGCAGAGAAAGGGATATCTAACATATGATCTTCTTTGCAGATGCTCCCCCCCGGGGGGAATTTCAGTAAGTGTCCTTTTGTCCAGTCAGCTATTTTTCACCTTGACTTGTATTAATTTAGAGAAGGAATGAAAAGGGCCCAATGGTTCCCTTCAATTTTTCCTCCAGTCAAAGAAGCGGCCTGTGGCAAATGCCAGCAGAAATAGCCCTCCACTTGGGAAGCTTCATGGAGATGGATAGTTTAAATGCCTTGATACAGACACAAAAATGGTTCGCCAGCATCCTTCACACAATAACTCTATTATTAGGTCTCCAGATAATGAAGAGGTCAGTCATTCATGAAAATCCTGACTCTCCTGGCGGAGTTTTTACCACGGGATCTTTGAATGCCTTTCAAGATGGAAATCGGAATTTGTCACCATGCAATTATTGAAAATGGGAGGGCTCATGTTCAGTTGCATCCCTTACAAAGACCAAAACAAGGTATATTTCCTGAGGTATTATGCATGTGATGGCGGCAGCAGGCAATGTGGAAATGGTGGATTTATTTGTGAAGAATAATTACAACGTCACTAAAGAGGACGGGGAGGGACGGACGGCGATACACTGGGCCATTCCTGACAAGGCATGAAGCCGTGACTAGAATGCTTTTGAACGCGGGCGCAAATCCTACCCACGCAGACGAAATGGGTTTAACACCCATCATGCTTCAAGTGAAAGTACATAAGTCCCAATCTATTCTCAACATATTGATTGAGTCAGCTCAGAAATCCGGTAATGATATTTTTGGAGCGAACTGTGACGGGGAAACTGCATTGTATGTGGCCGCAAAACATGGGAATATTCGATGCGATGCAGCTATATCTTGACCTCAGGGCTAATGCCTTGAAAAAGGACTGTTTGGGCTATTATCCGCTGTTAAGGGCGATTGAGAGCATGTCCTTAAGCCTTACTCAACCTATAGTTAGTTCAAGCAATGGTGGGAACCTTTAGCGAAGTTTCAACACCAAATTCTCTGGATCAAACGCCTCTTCACTTTACAGTGGAGTTTTCGCTGGAGTGGCTAAATATTTAGTAGATTTCGCTTCTGGTCGCAGGAGTAGATATGGCCGTTGGCGATACGGATATTTAGGCAAACTGGCGTTTGCCTCGCTATCTCACAAAAAAGTAGCTGTAGTATTCTTAGCTTGTTGATTTGGCACGGAGCAAACCCTTATTACTCCCAGGGGAGGACGTGTTTTGAATCGCCAATAGAAATTATTTTCCGAAGAACATCACCTTCAAGGATCACGGGTCGACTCCGACTGCCTCCATCCATCTTTGATCAGACGTGGACTTTGGCGTGTGAAATGCAATCACATCTCGCGCTCCCGTCGTTTGAGGCAGAACACGAGGAATTTGCATCCAGCCATGTACGGTCATGCCATAATAGCATTGAGAGCTACAGCTCCATGGCAGGCCTCGATTCCCACCAAACCGCGAACCAGTGAAACAACGGAAAGATTGATCCAGAATATCATCTGTGTGAACGCCAGCAGCCAGACTTTTAGCCAAAAGACACCCACGGCTTCATTGCATTACGCTGCCCAGAGCGGAAAAAAGGGGGTTAACTACGGGGACATAATGTTTATTCCGCCAAGTACAGTGGGGGCACAGCACACCCGCTCGAGGCTCAACGATGTCATTGAAGGGCTTCTCATTGCAGACCGTGCGGAGGATGCGCTAATAGTTACATGATGAGGATGGGGGTGTACGGCATTGATAGAGATCGTGAGGCAGAGACGTGCTAAAAGGTGTTTTTTTCTCTGCCTCGAACAGGAGCTGGTTATGGAGCAAAACCCTCCAAGTGAACCGTTCCAATGTCGGTTTACTGGGTGGCTTTTGCTATTACTTAACTACATACAAGTGCTTAAGTTAGGTCTTAAATAGTACGCGGGGAGGTAGATGGGTCGTTTTTCGGAGGGCCACCAATTTCAATCAAAGGGTCATAGCAAAAGGGCATGTAGAGACGATGACAGAAAAATGTGATCTCCGTTTTTGCTTCCCCAAGGTGACCCGTAATTTGCAAATATTTGTTCAGCAAACTGGTGGTGCTGGACAAAACGAAGTACAATTCTTTGAATCCTAAGTTAAATATTCTACCTATAACCATTTAACCATGCCGTCTACCACCCACGCCAGCTAAACCATACATCCTGCACTCTATCCCTCTCGGCACCTTCCAAGCTCGAATCCACCACTAGCACGTAGCTAAACCCAGCAATACAAATACAGCAATGATTCGGCCAGATGCGAATCTTCTCTCCAATCTTCAGCGGCCGCACATTATCCCGCGGGCCATGCCAGGCCAGAATCCCATGTTCCTGGCTGATGCGGTCCATGATCCACCCTTTCCGCTCCCCCTCGGGATCATACCACCCGGCCTCCGCCGTCCGCGTCCCCTCCCCGTCTTCCAGCCAGGGCGTCACGACGCCCCAACCGGGATAACTGCGGCACGCTTCCCGCCCGAGACATAAGCTACCGCACGCGGCGAGGGCCTCTGGCTGCTTTCTGTGCGGATACAGACTGCCCACCTCTGCCAGGACGGTGATGGCGATGTCTGCGAAGGAGAGGTTGGATGAGGACGGGCGGGCGTGCGCGGCGAGCTGCTGCATGTCCAGCGTCACGTAGGCGCCGGCGTGCAGCTCGATGTCACACGAGGCCTTGGTGCGGTCAAGTAACTCCTTGACGCGCTTGGTGGTGGGATCAGGCGTCGCGGGGCCGCCGGTGGTGGTGGTGGTGGTCGGGGTGAGGTTCTGGGCAGCGGTGGTGGTGGGCGTTGCCCCGACGGAGAGCAGGAAGCGGCGGCCAGCATATTTGCCCACGGTGCATGCGTGGGCGGCGGCGACCGCGGACCGCTCGACCTCCTGGGCCAGGTAGTCCATGGCTTCGTTCGTGCTGTCTGAGCTGTAGCTGTGGCCTAGGTGGCTGTAGAAGCCGCGCAGGGATATACCGGCGCTGCCATCGTGCTCGGCGGTGTGGATGGCTGCGAGGAGATCTTTGAATTGCTGCGAGTCTGGGGCGATGCCGGCTCTGTTGTTTCCCGTGTCGAGTTTGATGAAGACGCCGAGGGTGTCTGAGGTGAGGTCTCGGTATTGGGAGAGGAAAGGGATGATGTCTGGATCATCCACGAGCACGGATATGCTTGATTTCCCGAGCGATTTGCCGAGGGCTACTAGCCGTTTGAAGCAGGAGGGTTGAACGGGCAGACCATAGATGAGCTATGGAAGGGTATTAGAAAATTTAAATGTTCAAAACGCTGCAGAGAAGGTGGCCTTTTTTTTCTCCTCACGTCTGTAGATCTGCCGTTAACTTTGCATTCCTCCAGGTACGGCTGCAGCTGCTCAGCTTCCGCGAGCGTGGAAACCACCAGTCGAATGGGATCGCTCTTCTCCCCTACTTGGAACTTCGTGAGCTCTGTGGTCTGTTTGGGAAAGCAGTCAGCCAGAAATTCCAATTTCTTATATATATGTATATGCCATGCAAACCTGCGTAAAAAGCCGATATCATATCTTGACAGCCATGTTATGGAATTGGATTCTTCTTCATGGTGGTAACATACCTTGTGAGTTTTAACATGAGAGCGGAAAAGAACGCCGAGGGCATCTGCAGCGTCCAGCATGAGCTGGCAATTCCTGCGCGCAACAGCGACATCTATAATGGCCGCTGGGCCGTCGATGTCGCGCAGCATCCGGCCAGCATACTGGGCTTTGAGGGCGTCGCGCGAGGCGTTGGGGTAGTTGGTCACGCCGGACATTGTGAGGAGATGGGATTAGATACAGCCGATGTCTTTTTCCTTTTTCCTTTTTCCTCTTTTCTTTTCTTTTCTTCTTTTTTTTTTTTTTGTTTTTTATTTTTCTTCTTTCGTACAGTCTACAAGAAGAATGAATTTTTATTTTGAATTGAGAGATTGGTGGTATAAAGAGGGGATGGTAAAGCAGCTAAAAGCTATGTCCGATGTGTCCGGCAATTCTGCCCCGCACCTGAGTTCAGCTGTATAATTTATAACTAATAAAAGTTAGTTAGGAGTTACAGGACTTGCTTGGATTAGAAAGAAAGAGAGGACTGACTGTCTGCCACAGAAGCTTGCTGTCGTCATATCTCTATCTCGTAGTAATGTAATGTAGTTACTTACTTACCCCCACGTCGTGCCCGCTACGTGGGAGAGATTTAAACAGTTTCGTGATTCCCACTCGTCTTCTTCTACTTGCCACTACTACTTGCCCCTTCGTTCTGCCGACGAGGGATCATCGAACTCTCTTCTGCGCAAAAAAAAAAAAAAAAGAAGAAGAAGGCTTTTTAAGAAACTATCCTCTCCAGCAGCCCATTATCCCTCATTGTCATTTCTGAATAGCCCTTTAGCACCATCCATTCTCCCTCCCTTGATCCATCCAAGCCATAAATAAAACATGGCATCCGCAAAGCAGGTCGTCCTGACCGACAAGGCCCCCGCGCCTATCCCCGTGCTGTCTCAGGGCATTGTTCACAACGGAATCGTATACTGCTCTGGCCAGGTGGGAATGGACCCGGCCACGGGCAAGCTGGTTGAGGGTACAGTTCAGGATAGAACCGTATGTTACTTGCTCTCTTCTTTCTCCTCTCTCCCTCCCCTCTATCTAATTGATAGTTGATACATAAATTATTTTTTTGACCCCTCTCGCATCATCGACAACAACAATAGCTTGCGCGGGGGTTGGTTTGACTGACTGTACTGTACTGTATATTGCTAGGCACAAATATTCCGCAACCTGAGCGCTGTGCTGGAGAAAGCTGGCTCCAGCCTGGAGAAGGCCATCAAGGTCAACGTCTTCCTTGCCAACATGGAAGACTTTGCCGCCATGAATGAAATCTATGCCCAGTTCCTGAGCCAAGAGCCTAAGCCTGTAAGTGGTCTCTCTCTCTCTCTCTCTCTTATGTTTTGGGTTTCTTTTGTTTTCTTTTTAAAACAAAAAGCTGACGGAAATTCCTAGGTGCGAACCTGTGTGGCTGTTAAGGCACTCCCGCTGGGCACGGATGTTGAAATAGAGTGCTCTGCCTACATATAAAATGTGAACGTTTTCCTTTTCTTTTCTTTCTTTTTTCTTTCTTTCACAGCGGGGGAAGAAAAGAAAAAAAAGAAAAGAAGAAACGGAAGAGGAAAGAAAAAAAGAAATATGAGATCACACGACCATATGTTTGTTTGGGAATTATTAATAATAATAGTTTCAATAATCTGCAGTGCGCAAAATGCTTCTGTACCTAGTCAAGTGCTTTTTTTTTTTACTTGTTTGAATAACTTCATACGCTGTACTCCGTACTTACTCATGCTATCATGTCTCTAGGAAGGGAGGGAGAAGTTGGAAGCAGCGAGGAAAAAAAGGAGAGGGAAAGCTCCCGTGTTCAAACACGAGGGGAACTCGGCGACTAGTTAGTTAGCTGCAGCTTCAAACGTCTTCAACGTCTTTTAACGTCTTCAACACATAAAAATAACAACACACAATCAAAATCAATTGGCAGTTCTAAAAGATGTCCGGTCCAGAACTTATTTTTCCTTCCAAGGATTCTCCATGTATTCCTCCATTCCTCCTCTGAACTCTTGAATATGTCATGCAGCTCCCATTCTATTCTCCCCTTCTCCCCCCGCACTGCCCATGCCCTGAACAAATGAGTGGTTATTATTCCCCATCATTCATCACCTATCTCTCTCTCCCAGGCTACACAAAGCTGAAACAAAAGCCTGCGCTTCCACAAGCTACGCAGTAGCTAGTTGTGCAACCACTAGTTAACCCTCTCCCCCATTTCCCCGCCACCCCCATATGCCCGCCAATAACAGCACCACCAGCAAACTCGCCTGATGGTTCGCCCACAATCCCTCACTAATTACTAGGCCCCGTCCAGCCACAAACGACCATAATTGGCGCGCTGGGGGAAAACTCCGCTACGCTGTTACCGCCGATGTGGGCTCGGGGCTTTTCCTGCCCACCAGCCAACCTGAACGGCGTGGGGGTCAGATATGTGCTTCCCCAGCCGTGGCAAATTGCATCGGGCATTTTCCCTATTTACATAATTTTCGGTCATCAGGAGACGGGCTTTTGGGGAGAGGGGAGGGATGGATGGGGGTTCTTTGAATGACATCCACATAGCCGGTCGGACCCATCATCCATCATATCATGCCATGCGGACTGAGTGACCCTTGGCTCCTTTTTTCCTTCAAACTTCCGTCGAACCCCTGATGGAAATAATGGCTCTTGATCAAGCACCCCCCTGATTCAACTCTCCATTATTCACTCCGGTTTTTTTTCTGGTAGTTAGATATCTCCTCAGTGAATCTGGTTCTACTATTGCCGACTTTGTTTCCCCGGTTTTCTAGACTCGGCAGGAATTATCTGGTGGTTTGTCTTCCAACTTTCAACCTACTCATCTACTGTAACTACCTAGTCCTTACCTCAACCTCACCACTTCTCTCTCTCTCTCTCTCTCTCTCTCTCTTTTTTTTAACATTCGCTTTAAGGGACCACTTTCTCAACCACCCCCCATTCGTTCCCCTCCAATAGAGATCTTCTAAATCTCAACCCTCGTTTTCCAGCATCTTATATCCTTTTATAACAAAAATAAGAAAAATCGCAGACGATTGAAAACCTCTTTCCTCTGCGATTGTCAATATGTCTCCAATATCCACTCATAAAGAAACCCGCGAAAACGGCAGCGACCGACCCCATCGCCCACTGCAACCGGGCGTCTACGTGCCAACCGTATGCTTCTTCGAGGACGAAACAGAGGATCTCGATACGCAGGCAATCGGCAAACATGCCGTCAATCTAGCACAAGCTGGCGTGACCGGCCTGGCCGTCCACGGCTCAAACGGCGAGGCCGTCCATCTATCCAACGAGGAACGCATCACGGCCATCGAAACCACCCGCAAAGCACTAGATAGCGCCGGCTTCCCCAACATGCCTCTCATCGTCGGCTGTAGTGCACAATCGACCCGGGAAACGATCAGGCTCTGCCAGCAGGCCCATGCGGCCGGTGCTGATTACGCCCTGGTTCTCGCCGCGTCGTATTACAAGGCGCTCCTGCTGCCAGATTCGGTGCTGCAGTTCTTCCGTGACGTAGCGGATGCGTCCCCGCTGCCGATTATCATATACAATTACCCTCCGGCCGTTTCAGGGCTAGATTTGGACTCCGATACCATCATCGCGCTGAGCGAACATCCCAATATCATCGGGTGCAAATTCACCTGCGGCAACACGGGTAAATTGAACCGCGTTGCCGCCGCCCAAGGAAGCACCAACAACAGCAACAAATCCTCCCCAGCCCCCTTCCTATGTCTCGGTGGCTCAGGAGACTTTACGATACAAACGCTCATCAGCGGGGGATCAGGGATCATCGGCGGCATTGCCAACATTGCACCCAAGACGTGCGTGCAGGTAATGGATCTGTATGCGCAAGGGAAGCTGGCGGAAGCGCGCAGTGCGCAGGAGGTTTTGGCCCGGGGAGATTGGGCGGCTATTCAGGGGGGGGTGGTAGGGATTAAATCTGCGATGAAGTCGCACCTGGGGTACGGTGGGTTCGCGCGCAAGCCGCTGCCCAGACCGACGGAGTCGATGCAGGAAAGCTATAAAAGGGAGTTTAGGGAGCTTGTTGAGTATGAGCGCTCGTTATAACGGGGTTATTTACTCTGTTTTTTTGATTGGATTCCTCTTTTGTAACTAGTTTTCTTGTTTTTTTCCCCTTTTCTTTTGAGAGTTTGGAATTCCTCTTTATGTTTTAAAGCATATTTACGTGCGCCCAGTGGCATTCATTAACTCAGCATGTTGCATAAAATAAGATTCACGGCCTTTTTACTCAATTGGAAGTATTCTCCTATATGAGAAGGTATTATTTGATCTTCAGCCAATGACTCCTTTTCATTCTGAAATTTTTATACTTTAAGAATATCAAAAGTATAAATAAAAATAAAATATAAAAAATAAAAATAAAAAGAAACCACCCCCATTGAACACCCCAATCAATTCACCCCTTTGCCCGAACAATAATAACAAATGACCAGGGATAATATCAACCCAACCCGCATCCATTTTAAACAATTTTAGAAAACCTCGCCTATTTCCAAACGCGATGGAACTAGTCCTAGTCCCTGTAACTTACATAGTAACTCAACTTCCAAGAAAATTCCACCCGACCAATACGAATGCCGGCCCAGAACCCACACACCCCCCCCATTCCCCCCACGCATCCTAAGCAACCCCACGCACCCATCCCACGCCCGCAATCCACCAAGAATTCCCTTGCGCCCTCCTATCGGCATAGACAAGCCACACACGGCTAATCCATCGGCGTTCTGATGATGGGCTTGAGAATGGATAGGATAGGATGGCTGATTCAGGACTCGGTCGGGTTCGCTAAAGTATGTATGTATGTATGTATATGCACAGTACATCGCAGGAGAGAGAGAGCTAGGAGGGAGGGAAGGGGAGGGTGGGTGGGTTTACATTTACCGGCTGTGGGGGGATTTATGCAAGTATGGTTGGTATAGACTACATAGACTGTAGTATAGTACGATATGATATGCCAAGGTAGGTATGTAGTTGTAGGTCGTTCAAAGACACACCCAGTCAACCATCCAAGTCTCCAATATCATAATAGGCCACATGCAGTTGCTGAGAGACAGCCAGCCCCTGGACTTTTCATAGATAGTTGGTTAGCTGTTAAGTTAACTACCAAAGCGTCCTTGCACCACGCGCCGATTCGATCCATCACGTTTTCAAGAGAAATTCCGTCAAAAACTGAGCAACCCGAAAAGGAAAGTAAGTATTCTTCGCACACTCACTCGCCCGCCGCCCTGTAAACATCCCAGTCCAGCACCAAGCGTACTGTGTACGTCCAAACCACCCATCCCATCCCAAGAAGTGATCTTCATGCCCGCGGGGTCAACTAAGTGAAGCGGCGCGCGCGCCGCTCGTCGTTCGGAGTTCTCCACTCCCTCTCTCACTCAAAAAACAAAAAAAACCCTTCGATTCTGCAACAGAGAGGGAAGTTAGTGATGTAACCCGCAAACCCGCTCGGGTGGACTTATTGCCTGAAGGAGAAGCAGATACGACGTCGGGAAGGGAAGGGCAAGACTCAAGACTGTCAAGAATGTCAAGAATGTCAAGGCATGGGGGCAGACAATGAGCAGTTTATTTTTAGACTTATATTCCCTGGGAAGTTAGGGCTAGATTCCCAATTTGGTATTGACATACGTAACTAAAGATCTACTGGCTGAAAGGTGAGACTCCCATGCGACGAAACTGCGTAGTTTTCCAGGTAATAATGTGAAAATTCTTGGAGTCAATCGGCTACAATCTTCTTCTTCTTCTTCTTCTTCTTCTTCTTCTTCTGGCTTAATTTTCCCCTTGTTTTCTACCCGCAACGGTGGTTCTATACGCGGCGGAGGATAGCAAGCTCTAATACCCGTGGACACTACCTAAGCTTTCCTGAGAAATCAAACACTCTAACCCCCAATAACAAAAAGCTTAGCTCCCACAGTGTTTATACTAGTATTGATTGAGCTTCGCGATGGGTGTGAGATTTTGGACCGTGAACAGACAAGCAACCTCAAAAAACACATCACCGACATCCTGTGGCTGGTCACACGAAGCACGGGGGGGGGGGGCTCGGCATATCCAACAGCGAGCAAGGCCAACAACTCCTTTAGCGCCGACAGCTTTAACCATCATGAACACATGAAAAGACCTGGCTGTGATTACATACCAAAGGGCCAAAGGCACACGCCATACATACATACATACCCCCCACGTCCTTTTGTCGGTGGGATGCCATGGGATTTGATCCAGTGCGTGCGCCGATATTTTTGGAAACCGTGTTTGTTGCGAATGAACTTTTCGACATCTTTCCCCCAGAAATGTTTCCCCCACACTAGAGAAGGCGTGAACGCTGAATTTCAGCGTGGGGGGAGGAGGAGGAGGGGGGGAGGGGAACGGGAGGGGGAACCTCTGTCGCAGGGGCATATGTGAATCTGCAAAGTATGAAAGTTTTGGCTAGCTTCGCCGGGTAAGAGATGGATGCCCAACACTTGTTGTTGGTAATTGTCAGATCAAGCTGGGGGCCGAGCATCAGGGTGCGCGAAGGTTCACGAGCACAACATATGGATACATGATTATTTGGGGGTCGAGTGGGTTGCCAACTTGCCAGCAGCAGCGGTTCCACTACATACAGTATATGCTTTTGCATCAGCCAGCGAGCGGTCGGCCCGAGGCTGGAGAATCTTTTGGCTTTAATAACGTAGAGACTATCACGTCGTTTCATTGCCCTACCCTACCATCGACGCTGGGAAAATATCATTCTACTGTTCTAGGAATAAAAAGGAAAGAAAAAAAGGGAGATAGAAAGAAAAGAAACCGAATAGTGTGAACAAACAGAGCAAAAAGCAAAAAAACCAGGGAGAAAGAAAAAAAGAAACAACCCACTTCCATCTCTGTCACAATGCCACCTCCATACCCGCTGCACGAATCCGTGGCCTCAAAAATCCACCCGGAATACGTCGCTTTCTATAACAAACACATCATCAACCAGGAACAGGTACATCTCCGGTCCGTTGCTGCCTCGCGCACTTCCGGCGTCCTAATACCAGGCGCTGGCCCATTGATACCAGTGGGAAAGCAAGAAGACATCGCCATTAAACGCAAGGAGAGCGAAGGCCCAGACGTGAACGTGCGATGCTTTACGCCGATCGCGGACAAGCCGCCGGAGGGCGGGTGGCCAGCGCTTGTTTACTTCCACGGCGGCGGATGGGTGCTTGGGAATATTGAGACGGAGAATGTTGTCTGTACGAACATTTGCGCCAGGGCGCAGTGTGTGGTTATTACTGTTGATTATAGGTTGGTCTTTTTCTTCGTTTCTTAATTGCGTGCGAGAATGATAGTACTTTTTTTTTTCTCTCTTTTTTTCTTTTTTTCTTTTTTTGTTATACTAAATCCCCGCTCGTCAGACTCGCTCCTGAAAACCCATTCCCCGCCGCCGTGCACGACTGCTGGGAAGCCCTCCTCTGGGCCTTGGCAGAGGGAGGCAAGCATCTTAACCTGAACACCTCGCGCATCGGCGTGGGAGGCTCCAGTGCAGGCGGCAACCTCGCCGCCGTTATGACGCATCGGGCCGTTGCACGCAACTTCTCCCCATTGAAAGTGCAGCTACTCAGCGTGCCCGTCATGGACAACACAGCCGACGTCAGCAACACCCCCTCCTACCGCGACTACGAGCACATCCCCGCACTCCCCGCCGCCAAGATGCTGTGGTATAGACACCACTATCTGCCCCAGAAATCAGAGTGGGCGAACCCGGAAGCCAGCCCGCTGTTTTATCCCGATGACTCGCCCACTTGGGCTAGCGTGGCGCCTGCAATCATCATGGTTGGGGAGCTTGATGTGCTGAGGAGCGAGGGAGAGAAGTATGCTGAGAAGTTGAAGAAGGCCGGCGTGCACTATGACCTGCATGTTATGGAGGGAATGCCTCATCCGTTCCTGGCGATGGATGGAGTGCTGCAGGCGGGCAAGGACTCGATTACATATATGGTGGAGGGTTGTAAGAAATTCCTATAAATTGGTCTTCTGCAGTTGGTTCCTCTATTGTTTTTGTTCAACTAGTTTCTAAAAATGCATTTTGCTGTCCCTTTCGCTTCTCCTGGGCCCCAAAGTGATGTGATTTGATGTCCCCAACCAGACCAATTGTTCTGTTAAGCTTTGGGGGGGCACATTTTTGGGCCGATGAGGCTGGCGAACTAAACGCATTGGCGTGATTATTGCTTTTTTTCCAGCCAGTTCAGTTGCTATCTTCAATGGTAACTACGCTGCGTACAAGGACGCGGCAGCATTTTATATCCCCAGAATTAGCTCGCAAAACGAAACAGCAATATCAAAAAATAATCAAAAAATCTCCCTTGCTGAAAATTGCCTCGCTGGCACTTTTTCTTGTTCATGTCTAGAGAATAATGGGCTGCTCACAACCACATCCTTGAATTAAATAGTGCACATATATGGAACCGGTGTGGATTAGTTTTACCTCACACCCCAGTCCATTACAATAATAAGAGGCAGAGCGAGCGACGAGGGGAGTCTTACCGCCTGTGACCCCCAGCTAACAATATCACAAAGTAGACTGACTATCCAGAATGAAACATGCCATGCATACAGATTACATTCCGGCAAGTGTTCTCTTTTTTTTTTTTTTTTTTTTTTTTTTTTTTTTTTTTTTTTTGGCCGTTCAATGATGAGGTTGTGATGAGGTAGGGTAGCATCAAAATGAATGCAGAATGATTTTTTTTTCTATATTTTTTCCCCTCCAAGATGGACACTGTTACAGTATATATATGCGGTATCCCAGTGCCCTGCATATGTTGACAATTGCTATCAATATAGTAGTAATTTTACTATCTTTTCTCTTTGAAGAAACCAGGTTAATTGATAGTACATTACATATATGTGTATGAACATGCATGAACAGAAGAAGATAAGAAGAGTGGGAGAAAGCTGTAGCAGATCTGCATGAGCGAGTCGAGTGGGATTCAATCTGGAAGTTGAGCAAGGAGTGAACATGGGCCTGACTGCAGATGCTTTTTACTTTTTATTTTATTTTATTTTATTTTATTTTATTATTTTTATTTTTATTTTTATTTTTATAATATTTTATTTTTATTATGTTTAACTTTTATTCTTTTTCTTGTATGAATAAATATCATATCAATCCTTTGTCCATTTCTATCTCGAGTATACGGCGGAGTATAAAAATTAAGGCTTTCCAACCCCCAAGCAGCACCCCACGAAGCACTAAGCAAGCTCGGATCACTGGAGACAAGGCTCAAGATTTCTCAGCAGCAGGAGATTGTCGTGGAGGAGGTAAAACTCGACGGACGGAGTACTTTTTTTCTGGCGTTTTTCCCGTAAGGTTACTTGATGATGTTGGGCCACCTCGTTTCATTCTCTGCTGCCGAGCGTTCTTGGCCGCCAGGGAAGGGAAGAAGGAAGATTCAACTTCCACCACCACCACCAACACCACCACCGCGTGTTCTCCCCACACCAGCGCTAGCTAGGGCGCCCCCAGCTGTCTGGCCTCCAAAATGCGGAGTTGGATCCTGGTCTACGTTTCCCGCCGTCGCAGAAAACCGCTAGAAGCGCCCCGCTTGTCTGGGTGTACCAATCAAACCATTAGCCGAGGACATTGACTTCGCTGGTATCTTGTTTGAGGGAATCTGTTCGCCGAATAGCTCTTCTCCCCCGCAAACGGTACCACTCCAGGGGGAAAGTAAATTGACCGCCTGCCAGCGATACTCTCGGCTGGGGGGAAAGGGAGGGAAAATGGACCCCCAACATCTGCCTCTTCTCAGGTTTGGACGGGACGGGACTACGAAAGGTGGGCTGCATACTCCGTACATGATATGATACATGTGGCAACCTGGGCGTTTGACGGGCCTCGAAGCGCACAGCTAACTAACCCCCACGCCCGCCGTCATAGCTCTATCTCAGCTAGCTTTCAGCCTTCAGGATTTCTGATCAACAATATCTGACTGAGGAAGGGAAAGGAGAGAGAGTTTCCGCTCATCCACCTCGTTATCACCCAGCAGCTAGAGCGGAAGGGAGAGAGACTTATTCGCTTACGCTGCGAATCTCCTCGTGTGTCTGTCCAACACCATTGGATAGTAGCCTGGGAAAAAGGGTGTATCTTTCTCTCTCCTCGACCTAATTCCCCGTGAATAGGAAGCTTGGAAGATCGTAAGCTAGGGCGAAATAATCATCTGTCGCGTATATATAAATCCCCCCAGCTCTCCTCCCTTTTTTCTCAATCCTCGTGGCCTTTCAGAGTAACAACCTTGCTCTATATCTTTGCGAAGCAGAGGCATTGATCCCTGGCCATCAACTCCCCCACCTCCCCTCCCCCCTACATCCTTTGTCTTTCAGTCCCCCTTCAGCAAATAATTACCTAGCTACCGAACCACCGGTACAGGTTTATTATATTATTCAAAAGAGACTCACTCGTCCTTTTATCTGCCATTACAAAAACCCTATCCGGCATCAATCCGACATGACTTTGGATAAACCAGCAGCAGTCGACCACAAGACTGCGGTCGATGACATTTCCAAAGATGAGCTGGCTTACGAGTCCGCGGGCCAGCTAGAGAGGAACTCATCCCAGGGTGACGGGAAATACGATGAGACCACTGCGGTCATCACGGACCACAAGGCAGAGCGAGCTCTATGCAGGAAGTTTGATGTCCGCCTGATGCCTGTTTTGGCTATCATGTGTAAGTGAAAACGAAAAGAAAAAAGAAAAGAAAAGAAAAGAATTCACCCCAGAGCGCAATGGCATCCGCGAACACTGTCGAGCTGACCATATTTGATTAGATCTATTCAATGCGCTAGATAAAGGCAACTTGGGCAATGCCCAGACCGATGGTTTGAGCACAGGTAAGGGGCAAAAAAAATCCCATTATCCGCCGCTCTGTCGGTTCCGTTGAAACACAAAATCAGAAACTAACGGCTAGAGGAAAATAGATCTCAACTTCAAGGAGGGCCAATACAACCTTCTGCTCTCCATTTTCTTTGTCCCTTATGTGATCTTCGCTCCACCAGTTGCTATGCTGGGCAAAAAGTTCAACCCTGCCCGCGTTTTACCCATTCTTATGTTCACTTTCGGCTTAATGACTCTTCTCTCCGCCACCGCTAAGAACTTCAGCGGCATGTTCGCCCTGCGCTGGTTCCTTGGGATGGCAGAATCTGGCTTCTTCCCACTGGTGATCTACTATTTGACGACTTTCTACCGACGTGGTGAGCTCGCGCGTCGTCTCGCGCTCTTCTATGCGGCGTCCAACATCGCCAACGCCTTCTCGGGCCTGCTCTCCTTCGCCGTCTTCAGAATCGAAAATACCTCCCTGGAGGGCTGGCGCTATCTCTTCCTCATCGAAGGAGCCGCCAGTGTTATCTTTGCAGTCTTCGCATACTGGTACCTGCCCCTGAGCGCTGCCAAAGCGAAGTTCCTCAACGAGCAGGAAAAAGCCCTGGCCTTCCACCGCATCCAGGTCGATTCCAGTTCCGTCGTCGACGAGAAATTCAGCTTCCGCGAAGCAGTCCGCATCTTCAAGCAGCCGATCTCATATGCCTTCCTTGCCGTCGAGATCTGCCTGGGTATCCCCATCCAATCCGTCGCCCTCTTCATGCCCCAAATTATCCAGCGCCTGGGCTACTCCACCGTGAAAACGAACCTGTACACCGTCGCCCCCAACTGCACCGGCGCCGTGATGCTTCTCGTCCTCGCCTTCTCGTCCGACTTCGCCCGCATCCGCTTCCCCTTCATCGTCCTCGGCTTCGTCCTCACCTTCACCGGCTTCATCATCTACGCTGCCATCGACGACGTCCAGGCCCAGATCCAGGTGGCCTATTTCGCCTGCTTCATGATGACGTGGGGTACCTCTGCCCCCTCCGTGCTGCTGAGTACATGGTACAACAACAACATCGCGCACGAGGGCCGCCGCATGATGCTTACCTCCGTCGGAATCCCGCTCGCCAACGTCATGGGCATCGTCAGCAGCAACATCTTCCGGGAAAAGGACAAGCCCAAGTACGAGCCTGCGCTGATCACGACCGCGTCCTTTGGCGCCGCGGGCGCGCTCATCGTGGCCTGCCTGGGCTTTTACATGTTGTGGGATAATAAGCGCCGCGACCGCCGGCAGGGCTTCAGCATCAAGGCGCGGGATGTGTCGACGAAGAAGTTGAGAGATGGTCCGGCTTCGGAGGATTTCCGATGGTATCTGTGATTTGCTTCCTGGCTTGTTTTAACATTTTCTTTTTTTCAGTCTTTGAACTATTTTGATGGGGTTGATGGGTTGTCTTGTCCATATTGTTACTTCTCGTGCAGGGTTGGGTGGGTGGTTTATTCTATCTCTGATGATTCTCTGTTCTCCTATCGAGTCAGTTTTGAATGGCCCAGCGGCGTGGAGTATCTTGGAGAGGGCTGCTTGACCTCTCAACGATATTTTGCATCAAAACATCTGATTAGTACAGTATGTAGATGAACATGGGCCGGCCCTTTTTAGGGGGTGGGATGGGATGGCTCAGCATTCTTAATTCAGTTTAATAAAAATTCAGCAGTCACTTACCCAATCACTCTTTTGATCATTTTTTTTTTTTTTTTTTCATATGACAGAACAAAAAGAATGTGAAAACAAACAAAAAAATTCAAAATCATTTAAACCAGTATTCATTCACAAACCAACCAACCCACTCGTGATAAATGGATCGCTGGAATCAACAAAGTCCAATTCTCAACACCAAAACTCAAAACACTATCCGGGCAATGAGAAGAGTAAGGAAACTCGGACGGGCTGGGAAAAAACCACCAGACAAGACAAGAGGAAACTAAAAGGTGAACAAACTGACATGTTCGCATCCTCCAAATACCTATACTATATGGCCCCCCCCCGAATCCAATCAACATCAAAATTGCGCCAGCTCCCAGACCATACATACATGTTTGTCCCACTGCCCCAAAACAAGGGGGGAAAAAATATAAAATATAAAATATAAAAAAAAAAATTCAATCAGAGAACATCTATCTATCTCCCTCACCACCCTTCCTTATAAACAACCCCCCGAAAGATGACAAGATTTACTAACTAACACATTTATTTTAAAATGCAAAATAAAGCAATCAATCCCACAAAACTCACACAAGGAGCCATCCATACAAAAAAAAGACAGAAGTGAGAAAACGCTCCCCTAAAAGGAAACCCAGCGACACCCATCCTCCACCACACCACGAGCAAACAAGAAAAAGAAAAGAAAAGAAGAAACAGCCGACCATTCACAAAAAGTCCTCCGGCCAGTCAAATTCCTGCTGGTGCTGCTTTACCTGCCCACGCCCCAACTGGCCCCCCATTTTCTCCCTCTGCATCTCCAGCCGCCGTCGCGCACTCGCGCCAAGCACGATATTGTGCGGCAGCGGCGGGACGGGTGGGATGTCGTCGGCATGGGCATGGGCATGGGCATGGGCATCGGCGGAATCGGTGTCATTTTGATGACTACGGTCGTGGTCGTGTCGCGGGCTGTTGCCGGTGCGGCGTGATTGGTATTTGGGAGGGGGAGCGTTGGTTGTGGTGCGCTGTGTGCTTGTAGGTGTGTCTGTGTCTGTGTCTGTGTCTGTGGTGGTGGTGGTGGTGCTGTTGTAGGTGTTGTAGGTAGGGGTAGGAGTAGGGTTCTTGGTTGGGAAAGTCGTCGAGGAGCGGCGGCGGCGGGGGGTTGTGGGTTTTGGGTTGGCAGGGTTGGGATTGGGTTGGTTATTGCTGTTATAGCGAGCGGCGGAAGCGGCGGAAGGGGAAGGGGTATTTTCCATGTGCGAAGAGGAAGGGAAAGAGGACGATGGCGCGGATTTCTGGAGTCTGTGTTTTCGAGTTGCTGGGTTCCGTTTCGAGACTGACGAGGACTCGAGGGGCCTTGTATGCTCTTCTCCTCGTTCTTCCTCTCCTTCTTCTTCTGGATATGAAACCGCGCCGTTATCGCAATGTTCCTTCCCGTGGATGTCCGATGCCAGTGTCGAATTGCTCGTGTGTCGCGAGCTTGTCGCAGGCGCTACGATCCTCCCTTTCCTCGTTTTCCTGAGTCTATGAGGCGACATACTTTTATTTCTATCCTCTGCATCTAGAGCCCGAGGGCCTAGTGGTGTTGCGCCGGTAAACAACGTCCTATTCGTCGGCTTATCCGCCATCTGACCAAGCAATATCCGCTCGGAGGGTAGTGAGGGCAACACGCCGGGGACAAATTTCTTCCTCTGTCCAACTTTGATCCCCTCGCGATGTGGGGGAGGTATGGGCGGCGCAGAATCGAGTTCTCCATCGTCCTCAGTTACATTCATGCTCGCACTGCCATTCGCGCTTGACATTGCACTTGCACTTCTACTCCCATTCTTGCTCTCGTCGCCAATATCGACTAGTTCTCCCGACACCATACTCAACTGCCTCTTCGCCCGCTCCAGCTGACTTTCCAAATTACTAACCTTCTTCCTCAACTTCCGCTGCTTCTCCAGATGCCTGCGAGACACCTGTTTTCGAACATGTTTAGAGCTCTCATCCTCGCCATCATCATTGATAATAGCATTATTTTCCTTATCGATGGAATCTCCACGCTTCGGGGTTAACGGGAGATTGATATATGACGCAGCTTTACGCAAATCCTGAAACGAAGCGCGAATCGCCGATTTCGACGGGCTGAGGAGGTTATCCTTGCTGAAAGTAGAAGAAATGGAGCGAACGGGTTTATGTTTATGCTGTTGCTGAGGCGTTCGGGCGGCGAAGAACGGATGTTTTGATTTCTTGACGCTGCCCTTTTCCTGGCTTGGATGTCCCCTGTAACTTGCCGAGGTGCTTTTCACGGTGCCTTGGTACCCAGCAGCCTTAAGTTCTGCATACGCTTTCTCGGCCTGTACCTGGCGTTCTGCAAGGATTTCCTTGTGCGTTTTGGGACCAGTCGACACCGATGGAGTGGGGGCCTTCGTCACGTCCTGCGGCCCATTCCAGATCTCTGAAACATTATTCCACACGCCAAAGGGGTTAAATGCCGAGGCAATAGCTTGTCCGAATCTGAGGAGTCCAGATTGTTTCGCACTTGTTGTATCCGTGGCCACAGAGCTCATTGAAGTTGTAGTTGCAGTTGATGATGTATACGAATGGCCATATACCGGGCGGCTGCCGGACGTACTAATGCTCCCTCCAGTGCACTCTTCATCGTCACCAGTCATGTATCGGCCAATGGCATCATCTACATCCTCTCCAATGTAATTGCTGGGCGGCTTTTCACTGACGCGATCATTCATACTGCCCTCGAGGAATCGAGATCTGCGCTCTCCCTCCGCAGTGGCAGAAGCAGACTCAGTGGCAGAAGCAGAAACAGAAGCAGAAGCAGAGACGGAGCGATAACCATTCTGCGACTTGCCCTGAGACTGTCTCCGCCTCGAGCGCAGGCGCGAGTTCGTCGAATCCTTCTTCCCGCTACCAGGGATCTGGCTGGGACTCACGTTGACTTCTCTACTCTTCAACAACCATTCATTCGAGCGCATACGCTTTGGCGACGATTTAGAAGTGCCGTTGCCGTTCCCATTCCCATTCCCATTTCCATACTGGGGTGCAGGAACTTCTAGAGTGTTGGTAGTAGCATCGTTTTCGATAGCATGCAACGGGCCCTTTGGGGTATCATCATGATCGTAGTCGTAGTCGTAGTCGTAGTTAAACACGAGACTGGTGTCATTATTTGCGCTGACTAGTTTGCGCTTTGCAGATGAGTTTCGCCCTGCAGAACCATTGGTAGCATCCGGACTAGTAGCTGCACGGCCAGTTCCGAGATGCCGTTCAACATAGCGGTGAGAGGGAGTTGAATAATAATGATGGTGTTGATCATTCTGCACGGGATGGGATGGATGGGCGTTAGCACAATATCAACAAATAAAATACAATAAATACCATACGAAAAACAAATCCACAAAATCAAATCAAAATCAAATCAAAATGAAATAAAATAAAAAATAAAAATAAAAACCCCACTCGGCCCAAACTTCCAAACTTCAGTGGGGAAAACAAAGGAAAACCAGGCCAAGGATAGGATCCTTAGGAGGCTTTGAAATCCCCACGCCTTCGAATGGTTCCAGTAACGTTACCCCGGAATAAATCATAACATGCCCCGTTTGGGTTCAGACCAAACCATGGAAAGAAGAAAGAAAGAAAGAAAGAAAGAAAGAAAAAAAACGAAAACCCCGCCAAACAAATCTAGACAGAAAAGTAAATAAAAATAAATAAAACCACCAACCTGCTCATCATCCCCGCGACCCCTCGCAGCCATAGGCGGGGAGTAGCACATCTCTGCATGCAGTGCTGCACTTATCTGCTCCTGCTCCTGCTGCTGCTGCCCTGCATAATAATTCTTTGTCTCCGTAGGCCTGTTCTGATGGCTGCCGTCGTCCCATTGTCGTTCCTTACCCATAGCTGTGGCAGTTCGGCAAACAGAAAGCACAAGCACAGAGACAGAGACAGAGACAGAGACAGAGACAGAGACAGAGACAAGAGTCAATCAATCAATGCCTTTGTTTATGCAGAGAGGGAGAGAGAGCAAACACACAGCTCTCATGGACGGGACCACCTTCGTTCGCCACTGCGGCGAGGTTGCTGCTGGGTTGAAAATAGTATATAGAGAGAGAGTGTGTATGTGTGTGTATTGTGTGTGTATTTTTCCTCAGATGTTCGAACGTTGTCGAAGCGCAAACTTGTGGTGAGTGAAAAGACAAGAAAGAAGGATTTCAACAGAATATATCCATCTGTATGTTAGTTAGTTAACTACTTCAAGAGGGAAAAAAAGGGAAGAGGTAACTAACTAACTAACTAATAAGAGGTGTGTGGGAAAAAAGGAAACAAAAGCGCGCTAGAAGATAACACAAAAAAAGAATAAATAAAAATAGAAATTAGAAGTGCTGGTGCTGGTGCTGGTGCTGGTGCATGGAAAATGGAAAATGGGAAATGAAAAATCATCAAAGCCAGACAAGCCAAAAACAAGCATCGCGAGTCAGCAGCTGGCCAGGAAACAGAGAGAGAGTGTGTGTATGTGTGTATGTATGTTATGTTATATAATATAATATGATGCTAGTCTGCAATCAACCACCAAGCAAGGACTGAAGAGTAAACAACCCCTTAATCACTGTGACACTGGAAGAGCAGGCAGAAAAAGGTAAGCAATGAAAAGAGATAATAACAGTCTCTCTCTCTCTCTCTCTCTCTCTCACACACACACACACACACACACCTAACTACAGATTTACTGCAAGTGAAAAAGTGCATTCTTATTATGTGTTGAGTTGCCTTGTGATGATGAAAACAAAAAACAACATCAAAAAACAACCTGACCCCACAGAAGTGACAGGACTATTTTTATTGATTCAAATTGTTAGTATTTTCTATTTCCCAGGTGGAAGTGATTTGGCTCAGTTATTATAACTACCTACTACAGAGTAGAGGCTAATAATAATAATAATAATAAATGATGAGATGAGAGATGGAATTGTAATGAGATTGTGATTGTGTAAATAATAATAATAATAACAAGCCTCAATCGCTCGCTTGCGCTCGCTTATTCAGCTTGAAAAACGCGCTGTTTAATCTCTCAGATGAATATAATGAGATATGAACAACTGCACATGACTTGTATAGATGAATTTCATATAATTCACAGCTGTTAATATGTTAATAGAGAACAATCACATAGATGAAAAAGATGAATAACACTGTAGTAGTATTGTAGAGTAAATGTAGAAGCTTTAAGTGAGATATAATTAAATATCAGACAGCTCATGTAGAGAATATAGTAATTATAATTAAATAGTAAGTATTTGAAATGTCACAATTTACATCTATCAATTCTCAAAATATCAAAGCAGATAAAATGACTGAATATAAGTAGAGAACTATTAAAAAATCAAAAAAAAACAGCTTAGAAATGATGAAATTATAGCTAATAATAGTGCAGAGCAAGCTCAGTAAGCTCTAGAGACTTAGCAGTCTGTATTACTTATCAATCTACTCTTATCTCATTCTCAGCAGTTTCAGCAGTCTGTCAACTCATCTATACTCATCTTTCAGCAGTCATACCAGCAGTCTGTCAATATATAAATGTCTGAATATAGACTATAGCTGCTGATAGAATAGATTATTAAGAACAGCAGTGAGATTATTGTACAGCTGTAAGAGATAAAGCTTAAAAGAGATATAATACTATATAAGAAGAATTTTGAGTCTCAGTTAAAAAGAATAATAAATATAGAATCAGTACTTATTCACAGCTGTGATATTAAAATCACTCTATTATACAGTTTATATAAGAAGAGTTATAATTCATTTATTAAGTATATTATAATCTCTGATATATTAAAGAGAGTCTGTATAAATTATTACTATAATTCACTGAGTAAATACTGTAGCTTATAGTCTGATAAGTAATGAATTATTTCTACAGTATATAAATTTATTAGTAAAATATATATATAAAATATATATACTGATATATAAATAACAGAGAATTAGCAGATCACTATCTTCATTAATATAATTACTATAGAGAAGAATAAGAAGAAAAAGAGAAAGAGAAAGAAGCAGACTGTCAGTATAAAGTCAGATCAGATAACTAAGCTATTCAATTCAGTTAAAAAGAAATAGATGATATTTATAACTCTGAAGAATAAAGAGAAGAATGATGAGATAAGTAATAGTAAGATTATAAAGTTAAAGTTATTACAGCTATAGACAGAGATACACTAGCTTTTGAGATAAAGTATTTATATAGAAAGTAGAATAAGACTGTAAGTCTGTTATGAATAACTCAGCTCAGTTAATAGAGTATCTTTACAGATATTACAGCTTTAATTAAAAAATTTAAAAAATAGAGAATGATATGAGTAGACTGTATAAGTCTGATAAGATATTATTACTTCTTTCTTTTTTTAATAGTTAGTATTAATTTAAAATAATAGTTTTTTATATGTTCAAAGATCTCTATTTTAACATCTGAAAATGATATTCTATAGATAATGAAGAAAAAACAGTAGTAGTAGAAGAATTAATTAAGAAACTATAGAATCTCTGAATATATCTTATTTAATATATATCTCTTATTATTCTCATTCAGCAGAACAGTCAACTGACTGATATCTGTAGTTTAAGAAAGTATAATATACAGCTGATTATATAAGAATACAGAGTTTCTGAGATTAATATTAATAGTAGAAAGAGACTGTCTCTGAGACTTGTTAATTATTATTATAAAGCATGAATAAATCAGAAACTGATAGTAAGTTATATTAAATAAAATCTTAACAGATTGAGTATATAGATCAATCTGTAATAGTATATAAACTGAACTCTTATACATATCAGATATAATCTTTATCTCAAGTAAACAGATTATTATTTACTGTATAATTATTCTTATATTATTACAGAGCTCTTCAGACAGCTGAAGATTATACAGAAGTATGACAGAAGTACTTACTTTTAATCTTAATATAGATAATAACAGAGCTGAACAGTTAATAGCAGTCAGATATTTATAAGAGAACTTCTCACAGTTCAGAGTCAGATCATCTGTATAAGTTATGTCTGTAGTATAGAATATATGAATATTCTCTGATATAACTGTTATAACTCATTTATTAATACAGAATATATTCTGATTTAATACAGTGAGAATAACACAGCTTTCAAAGAAATCAGAGTAAATCACTACAGTTCTAAATTCAGCTGTAGAAAACACTCTCTTATATAGTACACTGATATTAGCAGTCTAATAAATATATAATAAAAGATTAATACAGTTAATACAGTCTGAATTATATAATATTTAATCAAGTCAATTTATAAATATCATATTGTTATCATTTACAGTAAGTCTTATATTTCTTATCAAGTATAGTACAGTTAATCACTGTTATATATATAAATACTACAGACAAGCTGTAACAACTGCAGCATGACTATTATATAATATAATAGACAGAGTTTGTGTAAAATTATTATTAAATATAATAGAGATATTATTAAAAAGCTTATCTGATAAATATAAATCTTGAAGAAGATGATTAATAATCTTCATATAATAGTAGTTATTATTATTATTATTATTCTTTCATTATACTCATATGCAAGCGGAGCTTATAATGAGTCCTTGCGTGATGTTAAATACAGGTTAAGTGTTGATTATACAGGAGGAAATACAGGTGTTGAGACCACGCCAAGATAACAAGAACATAGGAAAATACAAAGGAGTGACAATTAGATACATGCAATAATAACTTCCCAGCCCAGGAACATAGAGCAATTCATTGGAGCGATTTGTACACCTCTGTATTTATTAGAAACCTGAGGTGCTTGAGTTCCGGATTTAATGTATCCCCTGCGGGTTTCGAACCCACGCGCCTTGGTTTCCCACGCCAAGGCGCTACCGGGTGGCCGCATTAACCATTCGGCCACCGGGGACATATAATAGTAGTACTGTATAAGAGTCTTATTTTAAATAATTAAATTCACAGTCTGTAGTAGATAGCTCAGTTCACTGTAAACAGTTATCTTTGATATAGAATCTGCATTCAATTCAATTAAGATAATAAAATATGAGTGAGCTGTTCTATTATATAATAAAAGAACAGCTGCAATATCAGAGAAAGTTATATAAAGAACTGTTTTTTCACCTGTATATAGATAGCTATAGAGAGCTCTGTAAAGAAATGTTTTATTAGTATCATTTGAACTCTGTATAAAATAGTAAGATAACTATAATTCTATTATAATCAGAATTGAATTATATATATAATATTAATTATTATTCAACTGTATCTGCAGAGTATTCACAGTGATGATTTTCTCTATAAGATTGTAGTTCTACTTCTCAAAAAGTAGTTAGTTTTTAGTAAGATTATTTCATACAGAGTTGTATATAGACAGATTGAAGTCTGTAAGAGTCTTATTAAACTCATGCAGAAGCTGCTGAATAAGAAACAGATTATAGTTATAATATAAATCTTCTAAAGAAGTATTATTAATACAGTCTGAATTTATCTGATACAGTTGATATAAAAGATTATTATAAAGAGTATAATAGAAATATACTCAGAGAACAGATGAATCTGCAACATTCTTATAAATTAATACAGTGATAAATACTGATTACATGCAGTGAGCAGTTGTAAATACAATAGCAGATTCAAATGTAATAATTCACTTATTATTATTATACAGAAGATCAAGTATTTAATATACTATATGAAATGTAGAGTAGTAAATATCATACACTGTTCACAGAGTCTCAAAGCTCAGAGAATTATGTATATTAATAAGAAGCAGCTGTAAAAAGAATATCTCATCATTATATAAACTGAGATGAGATAGATAATCAACTG